TAATGTTGTTTCACTATACATGGGACCATACATGTTGAGAAAGTTGCATCACTTGGTATATGGAATATCTCAGTTAACACAGGACCATATGTGTTAAGTTGTTGCATCATGTTGTATATGGAATATTTCTCTAAACACGGGACCATACGTGTTTAGAAAGTACATGTTTTGTACATGAAATGTTTTACTAAACACAGGATCATATACATGTACATGTTTAGTAGGTAACATCATGTTGTAAAAGATATTGGCTAAACACAGGACCATATGTATTTGAATAGTTAGATCATCTTGTACATGGAATGTTTCACTAACACGGGACCATACGTGTTTAGTGGGTCACATGTTGTAAATGGAAGATTTTCTAAACACGGGACCATACGTGTTTAGTGGGTCAAATGTTGTAAATTGAAGATGTTCTAAACACGGGACCATACGTGTTTAGTGGGTCACATGTTGTAAATGGAAGATTTTCTAAACACGGGACCATACGTGTTTAGTGGGTCACATGTTGTAAATGGAAGATTTTCTAAACACGGGACCATACGTGTTTAGTGGGTCACATGTTGTAAATGGAAGATTTTCTAAACACGGGACCATACGTGTTTAGTGGGTCACATGTTGTAAATGGAAGATTTTCTAAACACGGGACCATACGTGTTTAGTGGGTCACATGTTGTAAATGGAAGATTTTCTAAACACGGGACCATACGTGTTTAGTGGGTCACTGTTGTAAATGGAAGATTTTCTAAACACGGGACCATACGTGTTTAGTGGGTCACATGTTGTAAATGGAAGATTTTCTAAACACGGGACCATACGTGTTTAGTGGGTCACATGTTGTAAATGGAAGATTTTCTAAACACGGGACCATACGTGTTTAGTGGGTCACTGTTGTAAATGGAAGATTTTCTAAACACGGGACCATACGTGTTTAGTGGGTCACATGTTGTAAATGGAAGATTTTCTAAACACGGGACCATACGTGTTTAGTGGGTCACATGTTGTAAATGGAAGATTTTCTAAACACGGGACCATACGTGTTTAGTGGGTCACATGTTGTAAATGGAAGATTTTCTAAACACGGGACCATACGTGTTAAGGAATTTATACCACTTTGTATATGCTATATGTCACTGAGCACGGGGCCATACGTGTTGAGGCAGTTTCATTACTTTAAATATACACAGTATTTATTAATTTATTTGAAATGTCTCTTGCTGACATCAGTTACCAATAGTATGTCAGAGCGTTATACCATATGTATGACATTATCTGTATTGTCAGATTCCGCCAAGCCAAGCCAGAAGTTGTCTGTTGGTTCCTTATACCTATCCTCACAAATTCAAACCCTCAGTTTGGTAATCTGTTTTTCCTCTCGAGTGGTCAGAAGTTGTCTGCAGTTAAGAGGAACATTTTTATAAGTTTGACATCTCGGTTGACTGGTCAGAAGTTGTCTGCAGTCATGTGACACATTTTATGCAGCATGGTGTATGTTTGACACCTTTGTTGACTGCTTCAGAAGTTAACTGTCTGCAGTCACGAGACATATTTTTATGTCTAGGCAGCATGGTGTATGTTTAGCAACTTTGTTGACTGAACAAAAGTTGCCTGCAGTTAAGAGGCACTTAAAGGCTGCATGGTGTTTGTTTGATACCTTTGTTGACTGGTTAGAAGTTGTCTGCAGTAAAGAGGCACATTTTGATGCAGAATGGTGTAAGTTTAACACTCTGTTGACTGCAGCATGGTGTATGTTTGATACCTTTGTTGACTGGTCAGAAGTTGTCTGCAGTCAAGAGGCATATTTGATGCAGAATGGTGTAAGTTTAACAACTTTGTTGACTACAGCATGGTGTATGTTTGATACCTTTGTTGACTGGTCAGAAATTGTCTGCAGTCAAGAGGCACATTTTGATGCAGAATGATGTAAGTTTAACAACTTTGTTGACTGGTCAGAAGTTGTCTGCAGTTTACAAGGTCAGTGTCCATGATTATAAATTCCCATTTTGCTGTCTGGTTAATATTTACTACAGACAGGTGTTTTGTACACTTTTTAAAATTATTTGATGTTTTGCCCTTTGTAATGTTTTCACTCAGTCTTATTGGATGTTTCTTTTTCTTGTTCACAATAACTATTGTATTGTCTTTTGAACTGAGTATATGTCAATTTAAAAAAAAAAAAAGAAGATGTTTAAATGCTTTTGTATTAATCATCCTGTTGAGGAATTTTGCGTCTCCTGCCAAGACGCCTTTGGGTGGGTGGATCCAATCTCTGATTGGATTGTGGCTGTTTGTTATTTTGTTTTCCCACCTTTTTTGATGACAGGCAGCAGTTTAGAACATTTTGTATATGTCTTCCAAACTTATGATGTTTATAAGGGGGTCAACTTAAAATGCATGTATATTGTACCTTGTGAAAGATTACAGGGTTGGAATTATTATTCTAGTCTGGTTGACCCCCCTTTTGCCTATGTACATCATGTTACAATGTCATTATGGTGCTGGGGGTCAGATTGTGTAATATTTTGACTAAGATGTGTAATACTCTATATTTGAGTCCTCCTTTTTCTGACCCCCAATTTGTTAAATGTGTTTTACTTTTCCGTCATTTACTTTAATAAATGACATATTTCACTTCAGCATGATGTTATTTGTTTTTGCCTGTTTATCAAAAAACAAGCTCAGTCGTTTGGCAGGAGAACTAAGGAACATAAAATAGTAATTATTGCAAATAATTTCATTTATGTGACATGTTCTTGTTTTATTATGTTATTATAAAACAGTGTCTGTATTGGACATAGTTTTATACTAAGTAGCTATTCGGTTCCTTTTTTGAACTAATTTTACCCTTTTCCACGTGATCATTATTGATCCGTTTACCAAACGGGAAAGCATGTTTTATTGAACTGATAAATTTTTCGAACCCACCATCCACCCCTTCTGCCACCAATGCTTGTAATTTCTTTCAGGTTGATATTTTTGTTGTTATGTTTTACCAATCCTTTTTGATAGTATTTGAAGAGGTTTAAAAGAGATTTATAGTACTTATTTCTACCGCAGGTTCTTACTGAACAAGTAAACTTTTTGTACATTGTAATAAATGGCAAATCCATGTATTAGGTTACTGAGAATGAGTCCGACATTTATTTTGTGTACCTTGCAATTTTGCTTATGTCTGCAGGTTTCCATATGATTTTTCAGCATAAAGCAGTGTGGCTTTTTATATATGGTTTTTCCTCGGCGGTGAGAGAAACATAGTTGTGTTCAATTTAATGCCTGCGCGATTGTATTGTTATTGGCTGTTTGTTATTTTGTTTTCCCACCTTTTTTGATGACAGGCAGCAGTTTAGAGCATTTTGTATATGTCTTCCAAACTTATGATGTTTATAAGGGGGTCAACTTAAAATGCATGTATATTGTACCTTGTGAAAGATTACAGGGTTGGAATTATTATTCTAGTCTGGTTGACCCCCCTTTTGCCTATGTACATCATGTTACAATGTCATTATGGTGCTGGGGGTCAGATTGTGTAATATTTTGACTAAGATGTGTAATACTCTATATTTGAGTCCTCCTTTTTCTGACCCCCAATTTGTTAAATGTGTTTTACTTTTCCGTCATTTACTTTAATAAATGACATATTTCACTTCAGCATGATGTTATTTGTTTTTGCCTGTTTATCAAAAAACAAGCTCAGTCGTTTGGCAGGAGAACTAAGGAACATAAAGTGTTAATTTTCTTTTTTTCCAAGACTCAAATAAAGTTTCCGTTTCATGATATATTTTCATCCAATTTTTGTTGTAGCATTCAATTTTATCATGTCCTAGGTATATTCCTAAACATTTCACCTCGTGGTTTGTTACGTTTATACCTTCTATATTGTTATATTGGTCTTTTAAAGAGCTTAAAAGAATACATTCTGTCTTATCTTCGATCATGCATGTTTAGATCTATTGTACTTACTGCTTTGGATAGCGATTGAATGCTTTTAAGCGCCAAAGTCATATCATCTGCATGTTGTATATTCTTGAATTCTTTATCTGAATTTTTGTATTTAAAACCTTCAATGTTTATATTGTTTTTAATTCTTTCTGACAATATTTCAGCTACAAAAATACATAATATTGCAGATATTGGACATCCTTGCCGAATTCCTCTATTCATTCAACATGTTTTGGATATCCAACCATTATTTTTTAATCTGAAAGTAGGATTTTAGTAAAGGATTTTCATCCATTTTATAAAACAATTACCAAAGTTAAATTTTTCAAGGGTTTTAAAAAGAAAGTTCCATTCTACGGAATCGAATGCTTTTTCAAAGTCTAAAAAGAGAAATTTTAGGACTACATCATCTGTTTGAATTTAATTTAATTTTCTGTTCCTAAATTTTGGAAAGAATGATAGTGCATTTGTAATACTTGATATACTTAAAATGGAGATATATGTTTAAAAAAACTATTCTGTAAACTTTATAGGGTCAACAATGAAAAAATATGTGTTTTAGTGAACCTTAGATATAATATTGAGTAAATCTTACAAAAAACCTTACGAAAAAATGACAGGTAAACTTGTAAGATGTAAATTTTAATCAAAATTAAAATATTTTGTGATTTTTTTTTCTGAATGCAGTGGACAGATTCAACATAAGTTTTAAAATAATTTTTACAGGGAAAATCATGAAAGGAATTTTTATTTTCATAAATTTAAAGGTAAATTTGTTATGTTTTTGGCCATACTTGTCTTTGTTACATTTGGACTGTTTAATTTTCAAGTTGCTTGAAAATAAGCATGAAAGATGCGTGTTTTATGGACTTTTTATTTAGTTTGAGTTATCACAATATTTAGACCTATATAGATATATTTTCGATAATTAAGCTAACTTTTTCACAAGTCTAATGGTATTAATTTTAAAATCTTTAATCTCACTACTAAAGCATTCATCTGCTTTAACTAACATATATAGAATATCTTAAAAAGGTTAGCGGCATCAAATAAACAAGTTATGAATAAAAATTTTCACTTCAATACCTTAAACTTATATCTTAGGAAACGACACCTGAGTAAATTCAAGTGATTCATAAAACCACGACAAATCTCTCTGGTAAATGAAGCAAAAAGAAAATACCGTATCTTCTATAACATTTGTTCAACAAAAATGGACGTTGTTGGGTGACAGAGTTTATAATATGATATCATAAAAACTATATTAAAAATAAGTCCACTAGAAACAATGCGAATTGACCAGTGATAAATCCACGGACAAAAGGAGCTATTTTTAACCAACATCCATGAAATAAGTATGGCAATATTTTCAGTGTAAACAAACAAATAATATAAAAGGGCATGATGTCGAGGTTCAGTGGGATAGCATTTATCATGATTGACTTCCTCAGTATGATCTGAAGATTCAAGGAGATTGACTTCCTCAGTATGATATGAAGAGTCAACGGGTTTGTCTGGAAATTTAAGGCGACTGACATTCATGAAGGAAAAAATCTGCACAAATCCAACGAATAAAATAAAGATAACGTTATGACGTTTTTTTTTGTATGGACTCGTTTTCGTCACAAATGACCACATAACCATAACAATCCAATGAAAGGCTACTGTTATTGCAAATATGATGCCGTTCATGAGAAAAATCATTACCAATGCAATTACTCGTGGTCCTATTTCAAACGCTCTCCAGAGGAAATATCCCATTACAGCGAAGACTTTTTTCTTCTTGGTTTTGTGCATATCATTGCCATTGAACACACGATGAGCTGGATAAAAATCAGTCACAGAATACGCGACAGACATCCAGGAGGCGAGAACTGTTAACAGTCGAATTGTATCTGAAATTAACAAAGGAAACGGTAGTATGCTGCAGCTAAAATGAAATAAACAAGAGGCCCAATGACCTTATAGGTAACCTGAGAATTATGCAACAACTTTCCAACCATTGAATTTGGTTCCTGTTTTAAATCAGAGGCAATGACATTCAAAATTTTGAAAGAGGCACTATTGCGCATCCTAACTATTCACTTAGCATGCTTAATTTGGTTACTTAATACTCAAGAGTAGAGTAGGGGGACAAAAATGCATTTTAGCCAATCATTAATATTCAGCAATAGTCAGTAGAGTTCCCACATCACATGAACCCCTTTACCCTAGGTCCACACACTTTAAAATTACGGAAAAGTAATCCTCATTAATGTTGATTTAACCAAGGAGCAGATTTCAATGCATTCGGTCTTTTTCAGTAAATAATTAGAGCCCCCCCCCCCCCTCTACAGTACCCTTGACCTAAGGGCTTTAAAATTCATAATTCTGACAGATGATCCCTGGCTCATCATAGCTAATAGATAAATCATCTGCTTAAAACCCAGGGGCAGAAGAGATTTTCAAAGAATTAATGCATTTGTAATGCATTTATAATGTCCCGCCCTAACACTAGAAACCATGACCACGAAATTTGATTTGTTTATATAAAACATTGTTAATTGTTAGTATCAGACAGAAACAAGATGTGTTTGCGAAACACCGATGCCCCCGTATGGCAACATAGCAAATGTTAAACTTTTCTTAAATGCAAATTGAACATATTGGTACCCAAAGTAGGGTTTTCTCACTGGAAATACAATTGGAAATATGAAAGACCTAGCATCACCCGTTCAAAAGTGATGGCCAAGGATAAGAGTTTGAAATGTAGGTCAAACTTCAAGGTCCAAAGGTCAAAGTGGTGGGTCTCTTAAGAAAGGTTTCATGTCACAAGGATTACATGTGTGAAGTATGAAAGTCATAGCCCTAACCGTTCAAAAGTTATGGTCAAGGTTAAAAACTTAAAATGTAGATCAAATTCCAAGGTTAAGGTCAAAGGGTCAAATTTTTGACCGGTATATCGGATAATTGTAATTATGGTTAATAACTACATATTGAGTTCAATTAGATTTCATATTTAGAGTTGTCACGTGATATGGCAGTCGCGTGATTTTAGCACATTACTTGCAGTATGATGATTGATTGTTTTTTTTACGCCGAGTCGGCAATATTTCAGCCAACTTGCAGTATGAAGGTTACCTATAAATTTCACTGGTTCAAGGACATAAACATGTTAAATGAAAAGTTCAGTTTATAATGTTTTCAACACACTTCTGAAAAGTGATGCGATCCTATATCTAGGTAGATTCTGAAATTTCATTGTTAAAATCCTTTTTGTATGACCGAATGCTGTATTTGTTTTGCTGGTCAACAGCATGTAATATTGACAGTGATAATCAAATTATTTTTAAGATTTCATCAGAATCGAAGCACTTTTAATATACCTTAATACTCTAGATTTGATTTGTAAAATCTTACTATGATCAATTGAGTGTATGCCCTTGCACTAGATCAATTAACTAATGACACCCTAATTACCCTCCGATGAACTTGCATACAAATACAAGGCAGTATCAATTAAATATGAAATATTTCCATTTCTATTTTTTTTCTTTGTGATAACTCATTGAAAGTTTATGGAGTTGATTTCTTGATAATTCTACCGAAATGTAAATTAGGCAGGTCGGTAGGCAAGGAGCTAAGGAGGCCTTTGCATGCAAATCTCGTGCACATCTGTCTCTGTGTGTGACGCTAAGGAGGCCAAATATGCATATTATGTAAATCTCGTGCTGCTCCCTCTCTGTTTGACGTCATTGGCCGAAGACTATTGAAATTGGCGAAGGAGTCCTCGTGTAATATAAATCTATGTCTACATTTTTAAAATCTAAATCTACAATATATTTCACGATGAAATGGAATTTTAAGGAGTCACTCTCTAGTTAGTATAGTATGCCAGGGACATCAGTGATAGTGGGAAACATGGGATAATGTATGCGTAACGGGCTTCGCAAATTATTCCACGTTTCCCACTATCCTTGATGCCCTGGCATACTATACTTGCTAGACAGTGATTCCTTAAATATACAGAAAATATATTAATAAAATTGTGAAGCATACATTGAATCGAAGTAAATGCTTATAGAATACATGTATCTATAAATAATATTTTATTAAATTATAGAATACATTTTTCGTTGAGAAAACATTTATTTACTTGATCTGCCTCACGTTTTCCGAAATGACGTCACATTGACAACTGCATTGCGCAGTGACTTGTTCACAACTTATATGGGATTTAGAGTTACCTGAAAAGGGGGAGTGGTCTAAGTAACAGTGGTGTTAATGACCTGGAGATCCCTAATATTCAGGATGTCGAAAATCTATATACACAAAGCATTACACAGGAAGTCTATGTTTGGTAATCAGTGTCAATATTCCGTGTTTCATGTCTAATTTTGAGTGAAACTACTCGAAATGATTGAAATATTTCAATAGAAAATTTATTGATGAACACTTTTATCGATATCTATTGAAGAAAAATAAAAATTATAAAGAAATATTGTTTCAGATTTCAAAATAATAATTGTAAAATTAAAGAAAAGAACACAAATTGAAACTGCTAAGTAATCATATCTTCTTTTAAATCAAGTTTGAATATTAGAATACAAACAATAATAAAATATTTCATTTATAGGCCTATCTTCGTCGTGTGAAAATTCACAATATACAGCGATAGGAATATACGATGGTCATTCAAAAAGTTCGTAGACTTTTGTCATAACCTTTTTATTTAACGTCATATTATAAACAAATTAAGTACACATATTATAACAATCAATTCAAATAATTTGAGCAAAAAAAATTGAATTTACCTTGATAATTGTCGAAATTCTTAAAGATGTAAGGTAGCAAAAATTGGGTCACGGAGCAGGGTTCAATTTGAGCAATCTACTAGTTATACACTTTATAATTTCTATAGTTATTACTCATTACTCTAATAAATGTCCCGCCGAAATATGGCTGAAATATCGCCGACTCGGCGTAAAAAAAAACAATAATCATTCAATCTAATAAATGTCGTTTATACGGAATAAAATTGAAATGTTTAAATTAAGTAATAAAGTAATAATCTATTACATCAGATGCCAAAATTTAATGTAATTCATCGCTTCGTTTAAAAGATATCAATTTCTAAAGACGGATAGACTTCATTGAAAAAGCAAAAAACGAAGAGCAGCAAGTAGCGATAAATTTTTTTGAATGGTCTGTTAAGACAAGGTTATAGTTAAGAGTAAGTAACGTCATGAAACTTGATGTGTGATTCATTTTTTCGGAACTTGTGAAAGCAAAGCTACGCGGAAAAGAATTTGAAGTCACTGACAATCCAAATTATGCTACTCAAATGATTGTAAACACACTAGGTGTCAAGTGTTATATATACAATTTTATGAATGGGGAAGACTCTACAAACCGTGTATGAAATGGAAAGGCAGAGTACGTTTGAGAAACTTTCTCGACGTTGTTTTTGACGTCACGGTGTTATTAACCGTGCTCCGTGATGACAAAACATGTTGCTTTTAAAATTGTCTAACATGAGTTCCATTTAATCCAATGGAAAGAAACATGCTGTAGTTAATTATTTATGTAGCTTGATGCTTTCTGACAAGTTAAAATAGCAAATGACCTTATTATGTAGTTTTTTTTAAAGAATCTTTGGTTTTGTATGATTTCACAGTTTCATTTTTCTCGTACAAATGAGGCTCTGCCCCCTTTTTGTAACCATAACTGTGCTGTGTAAGTACGGAAATCTCCGAGGTCAAGGTCAAAAGGGTAAGGTTGTTGGTATCCTATGAAGGGTCTTGCGACAAAGAATTATACATATTTGAAGTATAAAAGTCCTGGTATTCAAAAGTTATAGCCAAAGTTAAAGTTTGGAATTTTTGTATAAAAGTTGGTCAAACTACAAAATCAAGGTCAAATTTGGTAGTACATTGTACCAAGAGAAATGTCTCGCCACAAGGAATACACATATGAAATGTGGAAGTCATGGCTCAACTAAATCAAAAGTTATGGGCATTGTTAAAGTTTTTCAGGACAAACAGACAGACAGACCGACGGACGGACGGACACGACAAAAAGTATAAAAAGATTCTCTGTTAGAGTGACAACTTACTAAATGACTTATGAAATGATTACGTTATCTTTATACCCCCCGCTTGAAAAGCGGGAGGGTATATAGTAATCGTTAATTCCGTCCGTCCGTCTGTTACGCTTTGGGGTACCCATCTCTTATCCGCAACTCCTCTCATACCACTGAATGAAATTTGATGAAACTTTCACAGAATCTTTATTACATATTGCCATTGTGCACCTTCTATTTTACTTTTTGATCCGACACATATTTTGGGTTTCCCGGCCACAGGAAAACGTGGACTTTTTCACCAGTTATAACCATATGGGAGGCGGGGGGTATCATTTAGTGAGCTCATCGCACACAGTACCTCTAGTTTAAGATTGCTATCATGTTGTTAATTTTGAATTTACGGTACTGGGGGGGGGGGGGGGGGGGGGGTAGGTTGGATGGTTGTTTGGTTGGTAATTTTCAACTTTCATAAAATCTGGGAAAAAACTTACGACTACGAATCGATATGTTTTCACAGTCTTTGAGATTCTCTTGTTCTTTGAGAATGAGGTAGATCTGTAGAAGCAGTTGGGGAGCGGATTCAATAAAGGCGTCAAACAATTTTAGTAGACTCGCATTCATATTGTTGCTGATCATTTCTTCATAATGGTAGGCAATGTCCTCCTCATTGTCTTTTGTGTCCTCCTTATTGTCTTTTGTGTCCTCCTTATTGTCTTTTGAGCCCTCCTTATTGTCTTCTTGTTTTCTTTTCTTGCTTCTGCAGCCATGGTATATGTATGTTATAGTTCTGGGGAAAAAGTTAATTTCAATGTAAAAAAAAAAAAATGGGATCATGATAAGATATATTTTTGTCAGTGCCCTTATTAAAAAAGTTTCTTTTTACTCAGCAAATTTCTTTAATCATTATGACAATCAATTGTTTATTATGTACATTCTTAATTTCAAATTTTTGTACATTTGTGTTTTTTTTTTCTTTTCCATACTAGTAAGTAGGCCTATCCGATATCAATTCATTTTTCGCAGCAATCGACCGGGCTATTCAATATGACTCAAAAATGTGACTGAAGATTACTGGTACATGTATTTCCAGTTAGTTCTATAAGAATTATTGCACAGAAAATATACTTTAAAAGTACACGAATTGTATGTTTCACATTTACATTATTATCAATACACGAATGTTGTTACACGTAAGTTTTTGTATACATAAGGGTTGCAAACCTATTGTAATGTAGACATTATATCTGATTCTTCACGCTTACATTTAGAAAATGTGCTATCATATATCGCATTAAATCTTATTTTTGAGTAATGAGCTCCCTCGCATGCTATCGCGAGGAGTCTTTTGTTTGCTATTTCCACTCCAATCAAGGTTTGACATTGAGGTTTATTTAAGGAGCAAAAGTATAACATTGAAATACTAGTAACTTGAAATTAATTGTACCACTGTTTGTTGTACATGTATATTAGAAAAATATATCGTCCATTCTTTTACTATTTTCAAAGAAATTACAATTTATGGAAAGTACGATAAGGGAAATTGAAAAAGTTAAATCAAAGGGATAAAAAGGGGAGGCAAAAGAAAAGGGCGTTATCATGAGAACACTGTAAAAAAAATAGCTAGTTAAAGTCACTAAGGAGACTAGTAAATTTATTGTCCATACAATCACTACCTTAAAAGCAGTTTTACTAGGTATTGGGTATATTTACTAGATAAGATTAGTAAATCTAGAATTGATAAGTAACTTTCACTATGTATGTAAGTATCTATACGACCCCCGCTTCAAAACTCACTATCTTAGCCAGTAAACTGAAAGATTACTAATCATGACAAACGCTTTACGAGGCACACTACCTAAATTCACTAGGTTTTTCTTTCAGTGAAGATTTCTCCTCCCAAGCCCTATACCCATTTCAAATGACAATGTCAAATTTACCTCTCTATGGTAGCGAATGGAAACGTCAGAATCAATAAAATGAAAGGTCGTGGGGGATGTTTCTCAGAAGTTTTATCCCTAAGCCAGATCGCATTTATGATTCCAGTTACTAAAAATGCAGCAACAACAACAGATACCGTCAAAATGCACTCAAATGTCATTCCATTGTCGTAATAGACTTTGGCTGTCCAAATGTCCGTAAAGACATCAAACACAAATAATCCCACAGACAAGACGCTGCCAATAAAAGCAATGCGAGAAAATGGATGTAACTGTTTTTCTATCTGCTTTGATTCGTCAAAGCTGACTGAAGAGTCGGCAGCCTCCGTGTGTCCGACCAAATTGCTGGTGCCTTCGGAAGCACTTGGATTCTCGGTTATAGGTTCTCCGGTTTGTAATCGGAGTTGGGGTCCATTCCTGACCGGTTTTAGACACACTTCTTCATTATCCACATTAGGTTGGTCAGCTAATTCTCTTATCAATTTCTCTTCACACGTTATGTTGTCAAGGTTCTCCATTTCGTTATAATGGTTTGAGCTGAAAAATTCTCTCCCACGTTTTACATTCTCAGAACTGTTCCATTAGTTCCAGGAAAAATAGTACTGAACACACAAGTCCTGTTTCAAGACCAATCGTGTCAATACACAATAAAGCGTAAATACCCAATAGTACACGTTAAAAGCCAACATGATCTGAGACGCACTAAGGCGCTTCTTTTCAACGATTCTATAAATATCTTTCAATGCATATAATTATATAAACATAAAGAATATTATCTGGAAATACGGTGTACTTAATATCATTGATATCCGTAGAAACATAAAGAATACTTTCTGGAAATATACATATTAATCTCAGAGAGATCCGTAGAGAATAAATATTATGGTCTTCAGTCTATATATATGGTTCTTCTATAGGAAATAGAGGGAAAACGAAAGTACTATAAAATATCTGAAGCAGATAATTGCTGGAACTCGGGGGTTTAAACGAATAGCAAATTGCTATGAAAATCTTTATATTTTGATGTATTTAAACCTTTCCGAAAAGAAAGTTTTAAGGTTATCCGATCCTCAGGTTCTGAAAATCAGGCACTGAGTAATTGAGAATGCTTACAAAGATGTCTCTAAATTCTCAAATTAAAATGTATTTACCCACGGTGCTTCTTGAAAATTCATCTTTAAATTTAATCATATTATATAGGGAAAATTAGTAAATTTCGAATAATTTTTCAGGAAATGCGATTTGAACTACCTACTGCATATTTTTTAATTGATAATTGATCAAGAAATACATTTTAGGAATAAAAATCATAGGTATCCAGGCTTTTAAAGAAAATTGCATGAATTTTACAATTATTTGGACTTTACTCTCTCCTTCTATATATATACTATTGTTTCATAATGCATAGTTTGTATGAAGTGTTTCCTTTCAAAGAAAACACTGTAAATCGCTTCTAATTTCAAATCATGCATCTAAACATTAGTAACTAAAGCTAATTTTAAAGAAAACTGATTTTTTTTAAATATGCAAGTTTTACTTCATTTTATGAGGTACAAATGTTAACTTTTTAAATAACGTTTGTTAAAACTTTAAAGAGCATTGAATCATATGTAGACGCATAAAATGAAAATTGTTGCATGAAAAAATTTCAATTTCAAGCCTTATTTTAATACTTTTTGAATTAAATTATAAATTAAAGAGTTATCCTTCCTGGCTGAGGATCGTATATCCTTAAAGTGATAATTAAGAAAGATGATACAAAAATACTGTATGGGTTAGTATTAATTCTTTTGTTGTAAATTATGCAAATAATACATTTCTAAAATATTCAGAATTTTTTACCTTCTACTATGTTCAAAATAATTGTATCTTGCACCAACCATCCTTCTTAATCTCTATATTAAGTGTTTGTCACTTCAAATCCATTTTTGTGAAACTTTGAATAGAATATGAAAAACCATACGACTAAAGGTGTTCATTTTAGTTCCATAAGTATTATTCAAGTTGTTATTTTTAAATTTTGTAACAAATGCTTGTATCATCTGTCAATAGAAACAAGCAGTTGAAGTTCGGGTACGAAGTCCCGTATGAAATTATGAGGCAATGGTCTGAGATCTATAGAGATACCAGATCAAAATTTTTTGTCTCTATGGATCTTGTTGAAATTAGAAATATGTATATACTATTCACAAAGAGTAGTAGATATTATAGTTTGTGATCGAAATGTTCACATATGTACACAATAGATACGAATTAAAACATGCTGTACGTATAGTTCCTTTAACGAGCTCGAGGAGGCATTTCCAAAGAAATCCATCACCTACGAGGGTTGTCCCAAAATTTCGTAGACTGAGCTCATATCTTTTAAAGAAATAAATGTATCTTCCTAAAATTTTCAGGGTGGATAAAGCGTATTCTTAGCAGATAAATTACGAAGTTTTATCATGTTTATTTGAAAACTTTTCGAGTAATGACATTTAAAGTGAAACTGTTCTATAACACACGGAGCAATCTGCAACGTCAAAAATACAAATGTCAATGGTTCAATTTTTTGGAGAAAATATTTCAAATACCAGAATCAAATTCTTAAATTAAACGAAACGGTTATAGTTATAAATGTGAAATATCTCAATTTCTATGATATGATCAAACATTAAAATAGGTAAACAAAGTATATACATGTATAGGTATGAAATAATAATAATTTGAAAACGCTATATTCCTACGCGCTTTACGTCTGTTTTCTGTAATGGCGTTGCACAGTGGAACTTTAGCCCATTTCTTAGCCTTGTCTTTTATTCAAGTTACTGTTATTCACATATACATAGAGAAACAGTTTTAGTCATTTAAAATACTAAAGACGATAGAAACTTTCCTAATCTACCAAACATTTATGACTAGTACATTTCTGTAAGAGTGAATTCGGGATCTAAACAAATATTCATAGTCCAGTGCGCCGCCTGTGCCAAGGCAGCCGCCATTTTTCAAAATGTCGGATTTCAACCCCATCTATAAAAAACGTTATAAAATTCATATTTATCAAAGCATGAGCACCAAACTTTTAGGAAATGTAGTTAACAAGACAGTTTTAAGAATTTCATTTCCATTAAAAAAAATACAGGGAAGTAATTACTTTTCCGAAGGATTTAAAATATAATATATTAAGTTTAAATTTCAACTTTTGGGTATTGCGCCGCCTTCCTACACAAGACAATGAAATGTGGCTTTTAAATTGGAATAATTTGTTTAGTTACTCCATATTTGTCCATAAATTTGTTAGATAATGTTGGGTTAATCGATATACGAAGTTTCATTAATGTATGGCATAGGGTTCCTAAAAACAACGCTTGTTTACGGAATTTTGGGACAACCCTCGTAAGCACATCAATCACACTCCCACGATCTGCACTGGATGCTACTGATCAAAGCTGTTACTTGTGCCACAAATTTCCATGCGTCTGAATTGGAAGGTTAAACCACTCTAACGAAAGATTCTGAAGAAAAAGCAGGTCACTGCATGTGGCAAGGGCAATGAATATTTCCTAGTCTGTTATCAGCAGATTACAGTCCATCGTGCTACGAAGGTCCGTCCAGGATCAATAGACCACGACTAATATCCGGTCAACTAATTGCAACAACTCATGTAATGGACATGCATATTCATCCACACTATCGCCTTGAGAAATCGTCCAGACTGGTAAGATCAAATCAGATAAGGTCTCAACTTCAAAGACCAGGATACTGGCTTGGTAGTGAGTGGCCAGACCATCCGGAATCTACTGCACGGATTTTACTTACACGCCCGACGTGACGACGTGCTAGTGTCATTCCCTGTTTGGGGGATTGCCCGCGATGTGGCCCACATCAACGCTGAGATGCACATAGTTTTCTCAGATGAGTAGAAGATCACGATGGACTTCCTGGACAGGCACAGGAGTGTTTGGCGACAAAGAAACGAACGTTTCCATGTCGTTAACGTCATTAGACATGATCGGCATGGGGTGTATCTATAATGGGAGGCATCACTGTTGCCTGCAGAAGAAACTCGCTGTTATTGCTGAATGTGTCACGGGGCGCAGTACATGTACTACCGGAACAACATCTTAGCACCCCATGTTGTGCCGTTTGCACGTCATTATGACTGCCGTTTCTTTTTTCTTTCAAGATGACAATTATTCCTGATGTCATTGGGCCAGGATCGTTACTGGATAATTCCAACAGCAGAACATCACCACATTACCATGGCTTGCACTCATTTCGGATCTTTCCACCATCGGGTATGACTTGGACAGACAATGTCAACAACATCTTGTCAATGTCCAAGAACTTGCTGCATCATCGCAACAAGAATGGAATAAACTTCCCCCAAAAGTCCTGGGACGTCTCGTTAGGAGTATGACACGGCGCATCCGAGGTTGTCTGGCCGACCATGGACCTTTTATCCGCTACTGACTCTGATTCACAATGCTGGTGAATTTGCTGTGTGACCCTGTCTTGGTGTCGACCCTTATACCAGAGAATCTGTCCTTTTCAGACTGTATACAGGGTTTCGAATAAATTACTTCATGTTCCTCTGTCTTTTATTTCGTTCCAGACCTCTGGGCTGCATTGTCTTTGTATATCCTTGACGTTTTCCTGGCACATAAAATATCAAAATCATCAGATATTTCGGACTACTGTCACATTTGTATTCATTGTGACACGAACTTTCAAAGGGTATAAATATTTTTGACCTTTTGGCCTTGACCTTAAAGTTTGACCCACTAAAGGATTATAATTGAAGATAGCTTTTGAACAGTAAGTACCAGGGTATCGTTTTTCACATTTGTATTCTTTCATTTCTATGTGACGAGACCTTCTTTTGAATACCAACATTTTGACCATGACCTTTGGAGTTTGACATGCATCTGAAACTTTAACCCTCAATTTGGCTACCATACGAGGACACGTGTTTCACAAACCCACCTTGTACACCTATATATCTTGGGAAGCGGCACCAGTAAATTTAGATGATGATGAAATCACGATAGATCACTCTGGGTAAATAAATCAAAGGCGAAAAAACTAACTTTTATTTACAAAACATTATTCACGAAATGGATGCTTTTGGGTTACATAGTTTATAAAATATCATAAAAACTATATTACAAATAAGTCCACCAGAAACAATGCCAATTGACCTGTGATAAATCCACGGACAAAAGGAATTATTTTTAACTAAAATCCATAAAATCAGTATAATAGTATTCTCAATGTAAACAAAAAAATAATAAAAAAGGGCATGATATTCAGTTTGAATGGAATTGTCGTTCTTAGCATCCTTTCGAGTTTTATTGGGATTGGTACTCTTTGCATCTTCTTGAGATTTACTGGGCCTGAATATCATGAAAGAAAAAATCTGCACAAATCCAACAAATAAGATAAAGATAATGTTTTCGTAGGTTTTCTTGTAAAGCCTCATTTCCGTCGTCGCAAATGACCACGTGACCATAGCAATCCAATGAAAGACTACTGTTACTGCAAAACCGAAGCTGTTTACGAGAATAAGCATTACTAACGCCATTACTCTTGGTCCTATTTCAAATGCTCTCCAGAGAAAGCATCCCGTTGCAGGAAAGACTGTTTTTTGCCTGGGTTTGTACATAGCATTGCTCACGCGGATTGCTTGATATGAAGCAGTCACAGACCACGTGACAGATACCCAGGAGAAGAGAACTGATGACCGTCGAATTATATCTGAAATTAACAAAGAAGCTTAAGTTTAAAAAAAATGAAAATATGTATACATTCATGAGACAACAGGATTTTGATTTGGTAATTGTTAATATGAAATTAAATCCAAAACAGGACTTTATGAACAGAAATAAGTTATGTATAAATACATGCAACACGTAATCTTCATTTATCAATAAGTCGCTCGCGTGGCGCAGTGATTAGAGCGTCTGCTATAGAGTCGCGAAGTAAGGAGTCAATCCTTACGTCGCGGGTTCGAATCCCACTGTGGGACGTGGGGACCGGTCTTTCGGATGAGACCGTATAAACCGAGGTCCCGTGTCGCAGTAGGTGCTGGCACGAAAAAGATCCCTCCTTACTATATGGCCCTGAGTGCCGAGTATAGGACAAAATTAAAATTTGCAGCTCTTCACCGGCAAGTGGTGATGTCTCCATATGAGTGAAATAATCTCGAGAGGGACGTTAAACAATTTACAATCAATCAATCATTTATCAATGTAAATTATTATTAAGTTATTATCATGTTATCAGAAAGACAAATATTTTTGTTAAATTGTCAGTTTACTAAATGGTTTCTGAAAATGATTGTGTTATCTTATAATAGCTATCATGGCAGCTGTTGTTATTTTTTAATTGCCTGGGGGTAATTTGCAGTTTTCATAAATTCTTGAAAAAAATTACGTCTATAAATCGATATGTCTTCACAGTCCTTGGGATTCTCATGTTCTTTGACGATGAGGTAGAATTGTAGAACTAGTTGGGGGACGGATTCAATAAAGGCGTAAATCATTCTCAGTAGACTCGCATAATGATTGCTTTTTATCATCCTCTCATAATAGTCATGCTTTTTAATGCCGTTCTTCTTGCTCTTGTAGACATAATATAAGTAGATTGTATTTCTGCAAATGCAACAATATATATATATATATATATATATATATATATATATATATATATATATATATATATATATATATATATAATCAGTTCAGTATTGAAAATTTAAAAAAAAAAGAGGGGGTTCAAGTGAGATCATGATTTGATCAAACTTGCAAACTTGAATCTACACCACATGAAGATGCCGCCATATAGGTATGACCATTCATGGCTTTGCTGTTCTTCAAAAGAAGAATTTTAAGATTTTCCCCATGTATTCCTATGTTAAACTTTTATCCCTCAATGTGGCCGCATCCTACACACCCCCACGGGAGGGAGGGGGCGTCATAGTTTGAACAAAGTTGAATCTACACTACCTTGGGATGCTTCCACCTGACTTTCATCTTTCCTGGCCCAGTGATTCTTGATATTAAGAAGAAGATTTTAAAAGATGCCATTAATCTTTTTCATAGTTTTATAAGAAGAAGATGAAAACTTGTGAAAAGTTTACAACGACGCCAACAACAACAGAGACAACAACAACAACAACAACAACAACGACAAACAACGGATAAATTTTGATCAGAAAAGCTCATTTGAGCCTTCGGCTCAGGTGAGCTGAAAATGACATTTTAACTATGCTTATTTCTATAATAAAATAAATGTTTAACTTCTATATATCTAATTTCACAAGCTTTTGATATAATCAGATCAACCTCTCTATGGTAGCAAAAATGGGAACATCAGAACCAAATAAGCAGATATTTCGACGGTGTTTTTCCTGAGTATGCCAGAACAAATTTAAGATTCCAGTTACTAAAAATGCAGTAGCAACAACGGATGCCGTCAAAATGCACTCAAACGTCATTCCATCGTCGTAATAGCTTTTGGCCAACAAAATGTTCACAAAGACATCATTGCAAAAAAATACCACAAAAAAAGGGATGGCAAAAACATCTATGCAAGGAAATAGATATAATAACTGATTTTCTATCTGTTTTGATTCGTCAAAGCTGACTGAAGAGTCGGCAGCCTCCGAATGATCCATGCGTTGTCCGACCAAATTGCTGGTGCCTTCGGAAGCACTTGGATTCTCGGTTGTAGATTCTCCGGTTTGTAATTGGACTTGGGGTCCGTTCCTGACCGGTTTGAGACACACTTCTTCATCGTCCACATTAGGTTGGTCAGCTAATTCTCTTATCAATTTCACTTCACACGCTATGCTGTCAAACTGGTTCTCCATTTCGTTATAATGATTTGAGCTGAAAAATTCTCTCCCACGTTTTACATTCTCAGAACTGTTCCATTAGTTCCAGGAAAAATAGTACTGAACACACAAGTCCTGTTTCTAGATCAATCGTGTCAATACACAATTAAGCGTAAATACCCAATAGTACACGACAAAACCCAACATGATCGGAGACGCACTAGGGCGCTTCTTTTCAACGATTCTATAAATATCTTGCAATGCATTTAATTATAAAAACAGAGAGAATACTATCTGGAAATATACCGTGTAAGTAATATCATTGATATCCGTGGAAACATAAAGAATACTTTCTGGAAATATACATATTTATCTTAAAGAGATCCATAGAGACTAAATATTTTGGTCTGGAGTCTGTATATGGTTCTTTCTATAGGAAATAGAGGGAAAACGAATGTACTATAAAGTATTTGAAGCAGAAAATTGCTGGAACTCGGGGGTTTAAACGAATAGCAAATTGCTATGAAAATCTTTATATTTTGATGGATTTAAACCTTTACGAAAGGAAAGCTTTATGGTGTAAGGAAATATGATACAAACAAAAAAATGGATGTATGGATTAGTATAAATTCTTCTCTTGTAAATGAGGCAAATAATACATTTCTAAAATATCAAGAAATTGTTAACCTTCTATTATGTTGAAAATTGTACTTCTCACCAACCAAACTTCATAATCTGTATGTGTGTTTGTCACTTCAAATTCCATTTTTATGAAACTTTGAATAAAATATAAAAAACACTATACAGTTAAACTTGTTCATTTTACTTCAATTAGCACTATTCAAGTTGTTATTTTTAAATTTTGTGACAAATGTTTGTATCATCTGTCAATCGAAAGAAGCGGTCGAAGTTTGGGAACGAAATCTCGAATGAGATTATGTGACAATGGTCTGAAATCCGGAGAGACACTAGATAAACATTTATGGTCAAGAGCTACGGATCTTGTTGAGATAAGAAATACTAGTAGATATTATACAATTATTCATAATATCAAATATTTGATGTAATAAGACAACATAACGTAGCTGTAGTTGTCGGAGGAGATGCTAAATGCTGTTCACCAGAACACACGGCTAAATATGGATCATATAGTTTGATGGACCTGGAGCTGAGACAGATACTTGATGTTCAACTAGTTCAGGTAAAAAGAATGCAGAACCTCTGTTTGCTATATATTACTTCAACATTCAGCACTGATTATGTAATGTTTAATGTGTTAATATGGTTCGAATTCTCAAAACAATATATGCTTAACTTTTATAGAGCAATGAAGTCAAAAGCTCCTATTGGATGGAAATGGAGGGTTTGACAAGGTGCCTTAAGACAGTGGATGAGGAGGGTTTAGTTATTAGTGACCTCGTTACTGACAGACATCCCCAGATTAAAGCTTACATGAAAAAAGAAAGAAGTGATATCAACCATTGGTTTGATGTGTGGCATATGGCCAAAGGTAAACTCAGTTTACATGATACACTATTGTTTTATACAATCTAAAATGCATAGGGTATTCCTCATTGAAGTTATTAAACTGAATAACTATATATAATTATCATTTAATAATTGATTTGTGTTTTTTAGGGGTGTTTAAAAAGTTGGAGGCTATTGGGAAGAAAAAAAGTACAAGCAAGTGGGTGATTGGTCACGGTCAGTCTCAAACCACCTATACTGGTGCGCGGCATCTAGCGAAGGAGATGGTGAATTGGTTTCTGAGAAATGGCTGTCTATCCTCAACCATATCACTGATGTTCACCAGGGTCATGGAAAGCGATTCCCCAAGTGCTTACATGGTGACCTGGAGGACAGAGATTGGATTAAGAAAGGTAACTTTGTAAGCATGGGTTTGAAAAATAACAAAAACATTTCTGAGTCCCTAGTTTGCAGATATACATTATAAGTTAGTACATTATGAAGCACTATTGATCTAAACTACTAAATTGTATCCTTATTATGTTCCCCAAACGAAGTTTGGGAACATATTGTTTTTACTCTGTTTCTTATTATTATTTTTCTTCTTCCTGGGTACTTATTTGTCCGCGAATGATCTTGTAAACTATTCATCTGATTTAGGTTTACTAAAACCTTTTTAGGGTAAGTAGACATGTTATGTAGATTTGCGGAATCAAAGTCAATTTGCGCGCACCTGCTTGCAAGAGCGCGCACGTGCAACATGTAAAATGACCAATATAATTGATATAGCCGTAACTTTTCTATTTTTTGATGAAATGTGTTGAAACTCAGAATATAAGAATATATTAGTATTATAGACAAGAGGACATGGTCAAATTATCATGAACTCACGCGCATGCACGTGCGCTTCGCTCTGAATGGCTGAAACAAAAATCTCAATATCTTATTCGTTTTTTGACGAAATACTTTGAAATTTAAAACATAGTCATGCATTAAGATAACTTATGATATGATATAAAATAATTTTCATGAAATCACGCGCATGCACGTGCGCTGCATTCTGATTGGCTTTAACTTTAAATGGCTATAACTCCCTTGGTTTTCAGCCAAACAGGATGGGATTTAGAACATAGATAGTCGTAATGAACCCCTACAGAAGGGTATGGTCATCATGCACATGCATGCACGTGCGTGCACGTGCAATACGTATAATTATAAACGCACTTGATTTAGCGTATTTTCGATTACTTTTAGATCAAATGCCTTGATATTAAGTGCATTAAAATAAATTAATAGTGTAGATACAATGATATGGTCATTCCGCATATGCATGCAAGTGTGCGCACGTGCAATGCAAAAATTTGCTATATACTTGGTATACTTTAGGAAAAACGTTGTTTAAGTTTAAGATGCATCAAGTTTAGTTTATTTGATGAAGCTCAGGGGGAATGAGGCACCAAAATGAAGTTTGGGAGCGTTTAGGGAACATCTGTAACGGTTCCCGTTACAATTAGCACTAGTTTGTTTCAGGTAGTCTAGCTTTCCATGAGATGGAAAAGGTTGTTAATGGCAGACTTTTGGTACAAGACATCAAGAAACTCTCCCCTGCAGAGCAAACTTCAGCCCTGGAAGCATACCACAATGTTGTGTGTCATTTTGCACCTAAAGCTCTGCATTTCTTTTATGGTGCAATGAAGGCCAGGTAAATATTTTCTCCTTTTATTCAAAACTCAAATGCTAAAAATGTTTTTAAAGATTTTAATCATAAATCGCGAATGACACTGTTCTTCTCTTTTTCAGAATATACATTGCAGCCCTTCACTTTAACGAGAACTCCAGCCGGGATCAAGCTGTGAACAAAAATGGACAACTGATTTATTCTGTGTCATATCTCTCTTTTTTTTTTACAGATTATGCAATGGTTTTAAAGGCAGAAATGGAGCTGGCATCCCAAGCTGTTAAAAATAAAATTGTCTTTGAGTCTAAAACAGGGATAATGCTTTTGCTTGTTTATACATGTATTACAATCCTTAAAAGATTCCATTGATGCATACCTAAGGAAGTCAAAGTTAAACAAACATACAGTAAGTAAAATTTATAAAAACTGTCATATAACTGTGGTTCTTGTTTTTTGTTTTATTTGAAATGTATGCCTTAAGCCCTTTACAATTACAGTACACTCCCTACTCACACAAACATTCATGCAAAACCAGCTCAATTTTTTTTTTAAATTCTTTGACATAAGATAATGATTATTAAGAAACTGGCAATTCAAATAATTTTTAGAATTATAAAGTATACACCTTTTTAGTGCTGATTATTAGTTTAGACAGTATATAAATTCTGAATGTAACACGCTTTTTGATTGGCTAGAAAATTACATTGTAGTTCAAACTGTATACCCTGGGTTGTATACGTCACAATGACTTATCAAAACAAAAACATATCAATTTGCTTGACTTTACACTTAAATTTTGTACAGTTTAATGTCATATTTGAGGTGAAATTGTCTATTTTCCTAGTAATTAATTAATTATAAGGAATGAGCTTATTAGCTACTCAAGTTATACTGAATAACCATTGTTGGAACGCTTAACATTTTTATACAAAAAATATAGCGTAAACTGTCTCAATCCAGGTTATACTGTATAACTTGAGTAAATATTAAACTTGTTACTTAAATTAATACCAGGTATTTCTTTCAATCAGAATCATCTGTATGGATAGAATAAAATACTACTTCTTTATTTGTATTGCCAGGATTACCTTAAAATTTTACAAAAAAAACTACTTGTGTACTAATTCATTTTCTTCCAGTTGTCCATTTTCTTCTAGATATTCATAGAAGGATGTCTCTAAAACCCATCTGTTGAGACAATTTGCAGCAAAACCCTCATGTTCAGTGATGCAGGTTCCTCCTCCGGATCCCTCTTCAATCCTTGACTCAATGTCAGCATAAAAGTGGCAACATTTGCATTCTCTTGCAGTTGGCATAGAAATGCAGTTTTTACAGGAACACCTGCACCCAAAAATTTAAAATGATTCCCTCACTACAAGTGTGAAAATTAAGATTACCTTTCATAATTTTAAATTATTTTTGTAAAATCAATTTGTTTATCATGTTTATACTTATATTTTGTTCAATCTAAATTGTTTATACAAGAATTAAATCATCACATATATCTTAAATGGCTTTTTCGACTCTCAAGTATTTTTCTTTTTATTCTTGTCCTTCGTCGCTGTTCAAAAGCTCTCCTTTTGCTTCCTTTTCATTGTATACATGTGTATACCAATACAGGGCAATATGCTGATATGTACATGTACGTTACATGATGAACTTTTAATCCTAGAGTTAGCATACTTAAATCTATTTCTAAATACAATATTCATAGACTTTTTCTGTTAATAATTTCATAAACTTTTAGTTAATACTACGATAAGATACATGTATGACTTTGTACCAGTGCATGATCTGCATGTCTGAAGGTAGGTGTTCATCGTCGCTATGGACGCTGCCTTGTGCCGACTGCCCCGAGTCACTTTCATCATCCAGTGGCTGTCTTGCTGTCTCTTGTCTTTTAACTGGCTCGTATTGATACGGCTGCACAGTCATTTTAATAGTTAAGTCGATTTCTGGTATGCTTTCGTCCGTGTCACTTTCGGTAGATTCGTACAGCATGTAGACTGGTATTGCCCGTCTTTACCGTACGCAGGCAATTAATATTGACCGAAGACACAGAAAGTGATAGCGACCGAGCCTGCGTTAACGTCAGATACTCCGAGTATTTCGGACTAATTTCACTTGTGTATTCATTGTGACAAGACCTTTCAAAGAGTATAAATATTGTTGACTTTTTAACCTTGACCTCAGTTTGACCCACTTAAAAAACTTTATCATTCGACATTTTTTAACAGTATACTGTTCAAAAAATGTCGAATGATAAGGTTTAGGGGCCAGGGTATCGTATTTCACAGTTGTATTCTACATGTATGTGTCAAGACCCTCCTCTGAATACCAATAATTTTGTCCTTTGACCGTAACCTTTGGAGTTTGACTTGCATCTGAAACTTCAGCACTCAATTTGGCTACCATACGAGGACCCGTGTATCACAAACACACTTGTATACGTCAAATGGTATTTTAAAGTCTTAAATCTCTCCGCCAATGCATTCATTTGCTTTCACTGACTTATATATTGATTACCTTAATGACATTCAATAAACAAGTTAAAGGTTTTTCACTTCAATACATTAAACTGATCTTAGGAAGTGTCAACATTAAATTCAGGTGATTATGAAACCACGACAAATCACTCTGGTTAAATGACGCAAAGAAGGAAAAATCATAAATTCTACAAAAAACATTTATTCAACAAATGGCAGTTTTGGGGTGACATAATTTATAAAATGATATAATAAAAACTATATTAAAAACAAATCCACTAGAAACAATGCCAATTGACCCGTGATAAATCCACGGACAAAAGGAGCTATTTTTAGCCAAAATCCATATAATAAGTATAATAATGTTCTCAGTGTAAACAAACAAATAATACAAAAGGGCATGAAATCGAGATTTACCGGGACTGACATTCATGAAAGAAAATATCTGCACAAATCCAACTAATAAAATAAAGATAATGTTTTCGTGGGTTTTCTTGTATGGCCTCATTTTCGTCGCAAATGACCACGTGACCATAACAATCCAATGAAACGCTACTGTAATTGCAAAAATGATGTCGTTCATGAGAATAATCATTACTAATGCCATTACTCTTGGTCCTATTTCAAACGCTCTCCAGAGAAAATATCCCATTGCAGCAAAAACTGTTTTTTGCCTCGTTTTGTGCATAGCGTTGCTCACACGAAGTGCTCGATAGTAAGCGGTCACAGACCACGTGACAGATATCCAAGAGGAGAGAACTGTTAACAGTCGAATTATATCTGAAAATAACAAAGGGAACGGTTAATTGCTGCAGGTAAATTCAAATTTATATTTTAAAAAAGAGCAAATATATCATGAGACAACAGAATTAAAAAAAAAACAATATATTTATCTTTCAAAAAATTGACAGGTTATAATACTGCACACAAATACAGTTTTAAAATATCAATGTGAGTTCAATACAGCTCATGGAACTTTAATACAAACAGAAAAAAAATCTTACGACTATGAATCGATATATGTTCGCAGTCTTTGAGATTCTCTTGTTCTTTGAGAATGAGGTAGATTTGTAGAACCAGTTGGGGAGCGGATTCAATAAAAGCGTCAAACATTCTTAGTAGACTCGCATCTCGATCGTTGTAGATCATCTCTATATAATGGTAGTGCTTCTTACTGCCTTTCTGCTTGCTTCTATAGCCATGAACTAAGTATGTTATATTTCTGCAAAACAAAAGCAAGCATATGAGTTGTAATGCATGACTTGTACAAATAGGTACAACTATATATACATAAATATGTATTATAATAAGTTAATATAACATTGAATTATACAATATATGTACATACATGTCCTTTTTTAGTTTACTCAGTTGACCTGTTTTCGTCCGTCCTCGTGCGTCGTCCGTCGTGTTTTAACATTTAAACATAGTCAGCTTTTTCTCTGAAACCACTGAAACAATTTCAACCAATTTTGATATATAACATCCATGGGTAAAGCGGAGTATTATTTGGGAATTTTATGGCCCCTGCCTCCCTAGGGCTTATGGGATGTGATAAAAACTACTAAAATTAATGTAATCTTTAAAACATTTTCTTTTCTTATAATACATCAAGTAGCCAAACTGTTTGCATGTTTGTAATCAGCATTGAGCCTCTACCAAAATTATGAAATTCATGGCCTCAGGGTAAGGGGTTCTGGTGGTAGGGTGGGGCTGTAATGATTATATAGTGAAAATGCATTAATCTTCTCCTCTGTCCTTGGTATTATGAAAAAAAAATCTAAATACATAGTTATGATGAGGAATGTTGCCACTGCCAAAAATTGAGAATGTCATGGCCCCTTGGTCAGGGGTTCTTGTGTAAGGGTCGGGCTTTAATGATTTTATAGTGAAAATGCATTTAAATTCTTTGAAAATCTTCTCCTCTGCTCCTGTGTATAAAGCCGATGACTCTTACAATATTTCCTTTGTTACTGGGTATTATGCTGATGATCTTAGTACAAAGTAATGATGAGCATATTGTAAAGGCACGTACGTGTATGTATCACTTTGACCACATACCCCATATATGTTCTTTAGAAGATATACAGTGACCTAAATGATTTATATATATTTGGGTACTATTTATTAAGACCAAAAATTTTACGTAGTTTATTATTTTTTATTAAGACCAAAAATTTTACGTAGTTTATTTTTTTTTTATCTAACTTGAAATCCATCGTACCACTGTTCGTTTAAATGAGAAATGGATAGAACGCTGGGCAAGGGGAGGCGTAAAGGTTTAATGAAGGGGATAAAAAGGGAATGACAAATAGAATAGGTAGCTGTAAAGAAATTAATTGATTGTCCCCTCCCTATATTCTCCCATCAATACTCTTATTTCAAAATGACATGTCAAATGACATAAAGTCCAATCTACCTCTCTATGGTAGCAAATGGAAACATCAGAACCAATAAACAGACATTTTGGCGGGGTTGTTCCTGAGTATGCCAGATCGAACTTAAAATTCCAGCTACTAAAAACGCAGCAGCAACAACAGATGACGTCAAAACGCACTCAAACGTCATTCCATCGTCGTAATAACTTTTGGCCAATAAAATGTCCGTAAAGACATCAAAGCAATAAAATACCACAGAAATGCTGACGCCAATAAAATCGATGCAAGAAAATGGATAAAGAGGGTCGACCGCCTCTGATTGATCTGCGCGTCCTCCGACCAAATTGTCGGTTTCGTCCTCAGAATTCTTGCCTTCGGAAGCACTTGGATTATCGGCCGTAGATTCTCCGTTTTGTAACTGGACATGGTGTCCATTCCTGACCGGTTTGAGACACAGTCCTTCTAAATCCACATTAAGTTGGTCTGCTAATCGTCTTGTCAATATCACTTTACATTTCCGGTTCTCGCCGTGCTCCATTACGTTATGGTTTTGAACTGAAGAATCCTCTCCCATGTTTCACATTCTCCAAACCGTTGCATTAGTTCCAGGGAAAATCTTACAGAACACAGGTCCTGATTCTAGATCAATCGTGTCCATACATAAGTGTAAATACCAAATAGTGCAAGATAAAAGACTACATAATCGGAGACGCACTAGGCTAGGTCTTTTCCACGATTCTATAAATATCTCACAAGGCATGTAAACATATAGTATACTAATCTGGAAATAGTTCAAGTTCACTGGTCAATGCACTCGTTGTTAGCCCTTGTCAAAACACACAGACGACCCGACAACCTGTGTAAATATCATTTACTGCTAGGTCTATCGGATATGTGCAGGTATAATAAAATGTTCAATTAGTTATATACATTCATATACATTCATCTGAATTAAAGCTTAGTTGACCTAAAATTATATTATTTAACTTACCAAAGGTCCAAACATTCTAGATTCTAGATCTGATGAATGATATTAAGTATTTCTAAACAAAAATCATGGTAATTGATCATTTAAAACTATGAATTTGAGGTATAACAGTGTATAAAGTGATATTGTTGAGGGCGAGTTAATACTCCTATAACACATAATAATACCGTTTCCTAGTTTCTTTTCAAGCAAATAAAGTAAAATCTGTTTTAATTATAATTTCCCAAACGTCAGGAAAGTCATACTTGTCATGTTTGTGGAGGTAATGTCCATGTCGAACCCCTAAAAACAATTTCCGGGGGTGGGGCATAACCATTATGATACATTTTCAATTGGGGTGGCACTATGAGTCACCAAAAATTCCTTGACAAGCCCAAAATAAATAAATTGAGGTAGTCCGATCCCCAGGTTTATAAAATTAGCAGTTAAGAAATCAAAAATACTCATAAAAGTATCTCTAAATCCACAAAGTTACGTAAATTTATCCACAGATTTCCGTAGAGTTAAGGATTAAAGTTAAATCTAATCATAATAGGGAAATTGTCAAATCTCCAACATTTTTGCAGAAAAAGCGAATTAGAATATCAGCAATACATTTTCTTATTGCAAATTGATCAACAAATATATTTTAGGTTAAAAAAAAATAGGTATCCAGGCATTCAGAGAAATTGTCATGATTTTTATACTATTTTTGTATTTTTTGTCTTCTATTTCCGTCATGTATTCTATAATACATAGTGTAAAAGGCTTTTGCTATCACAAAAAGACACCACAAAACACTTTTTCTTAAATTTTCATATCATTCAAAATAAGCATTGGTATCTAAGGCTGGATTAAAGAAAATCTTATTTCTCTAAAACTGTATTAATTTTTTCCCCTTTTGTAGGGTACAAATGTCAACATTTGTTAGACCTTTTCTAAGACTTCCAAGAACCTTGAATCTTATAAAGATGAATAAAAATGAAAATTGTTGTATGAGAAAATTTCATTTTCAAGCTTCATTTTAATGCATTTCAATTTAAATATCAATTTTTGGAGGTATTCTTCCTGGCTGAGGATCGAATATCCTTAAGGTCATACGCAATGTAGTTTGAACTTTCTTGGGGGTTCTTCCTTGGAGTTGAAGAGTTCCACTAAATGAAGGACCCGTGTGTAATATTTTTAATGTCTATATATATATGGATTTGTACACCTCTTCTAAAACAATTTTTGATGAAAAAAAATCTGGAATTTATGTTTTGTAATTTTTGTACACTTTTCTTTAAATAATGCAAAAATTTTCACAATTTGATATCTTTTCGAAACCCCTTGTAACGCATCCTGATTTTTTGTCTAAGAACATGTAATGGTATTGTAAGTTTAAATTTAGAATATCTTGAAAAATTATCAGTAGCTATAGGTGATGTACGTTGCGTATGTCCTTAAGACAAAACAGAGAACAAGAGGCCCATTGGCCACATCATTCACCTGAGACAATTACATGTAAGATACTCATGTCGGTGCTTACATATCAATTTCACTTAAAAGCATAATTATAAGTTTTCTGTTCTTGAGACGAGGATATCTAAGGATACTTTGTAGTAAGTTTGGCCCAGTGGTTCTTGAGAAGATGAAAATGTGAAAAGTTTACAACGACGACAACTACAGACAAGGGACAAATTTTGATCATAAATGCTCACTTGAGCCTTCGGCTCAGGTGCATGAGCTAAAAAGGTCATTATTTATTGAAGGGACACAAGCAAATAGATCCTTTTTTTTTTACTGCAGTATTCTTTATAATAATCGGCAAAATTAAGGGGGGAGGTCCTCCGGTTCATACTGCTATGATGCTATTTCCAATCCCTGATTGATAATGATTATGATCGACACTTTCGGTCATTTAAGCAGTGAGGGATCTATCTCGAGACAGCACCTACTGCGACACGGGACCTCGGTTAATTCTGCCTCATTGGAAAGACCGGTCTCCACGTCCCATTTCTGGGTTCGAACCCGCGACGTAAGGATCAATTCCTTACACCGCGACCTTAATATATAATACGCTCTAGCTTCTGTGCCAAATAAGAAAATTTTATATTGTGTTGTCTTAATCCTATATGGATTAAAAATATTACAGATACAAGTGTCTATGGTAAAAGAGTTTGGAAGAACGTCTTAAAATCATTAATTATTGTTATACTTTCTATTTGTTAAAATGCCTCCTTGGCCCTTGATCGGTCAATAACACATCAGGTATCTTTTTCATGTATAAAAGCAAAAACCCGCTAGTTTAGACCTTACACGCGTACGTAAAAACGACATTATAAAAATGTTGTTTATAAAATATATTTATTTTTAAACATAACACATTAAAAACATCTACATGGACGATTGGATTAAGGCAATCAAATTGTCAATTTCATCTGAAACAAGTCTTTCAAAATCTGCTTCTTTCAGTCCGGTGTCGACATCAGTTCCCAAATCATCCGGGTTTATGATGTGACCTTTTTCATGTCTTTTAATATCTGAAATAGAAATACCTGTATTAAGAATTTAAGAAAAAAACTGCATTATTAAGCAGCTTCGATCATTTACCGGCAATGTAAAATAAAATATTTTACAGAATGAATGATATATTCCAATTTTGTTCTTTTAGAATTTTAAACTCTTGTCTACTATTCATGATTAATGTCCAGGTACTCACTTTTCTTTGCCCACCATTTCTGTAACTCCATCACGCCCATAAGCATCCAAGAAAATCCTGGAAACATTTTCTGAATGCTGTAATTACAAAAAGAATTCATATTATGAATTTTAAATACGGGAAACACAGAGGCATCTATTATAAAATTCCTGGGATATACTTTTAAAACGTAAACCGTTAATGTAAATAGATGTAAAATAGCTTTCTGTCATTTACTGAAATCAAAATTTATAATATTACAATCACTCTAGCTTAACAGAAGTCATTATTGCCACAGGGGCCTGTAACATATTGTATTTGATTTTACGTAATCACTATATATATACAAAAAGAGATATATAGTGATTACGTAAAATCAAATACAATATGTTACAGGCCCCTGTGATTATTGCTACTTACATTATTGGATTTGTGGTCTGTATTGAAAGATTATATTCAAGTCGATGCTAATATTTCAGAGATTAAATCTATGAGAAACTTTTAGCAGAAAAATGGCCGATATTCTTGGAGAAAATCTTTCCTTAGTATCTAATAACAAACTACTGCAAGTAGATTGTGACGTTATATCTATTATGACGTCACAATAATAATAATGAAAACGAGATTGATATCAACATCCCCTTTTGCAAATGGAACATTCCTAATGGTGTTGCAGGGGCAATACAAATCGCAACTTCTCGGGCTTTTTCGGACCTATTTTGCAAACAATGGTGGGAATTTTTCTCCATTGTCTCTATCTACAAGATATATACAATTAACATTATAAGAGGGTTTTTTTTAAAAATAAATGTCATTTCATTTTTTGATGGACACAAGCAAATGTAGTAGCCATGTTTTCTATTTTAGTATTCTACAGCTGTTCTATATATCAGCAGAATTATTGGGGCATATGCATTGCAACAGTAAAAATCAAGATGAAGATTAAAATGTTCTGGTTTTCAAGAGTAATTTTATGTGTGTTTGATGTTTGAACAGAACCTTTTTGTTTGTGTGTATGTTTTTTTTTTATTTGTTCTTTTGTTTTGCTTGACCATCTATACAACTAAATTTAATCTTTATTGATTTACAAACTGCATTCTTGAAAATGTTTATAAAGACAATCATGCGAAAGAATTTATAGAATGTAGTGACCATTTTGATATTTTGATAAGAGATTCTGAAATTGATACTGTTTTTTCATTGATGTCATATATCTGAGATTCAGAATGACTCGATCTATGACACCCCCCCCCTCCAATTATGAATTACTTATAGTGCTTTTCGCTGAAAGAAATCTCACACTCTCATACACGAGAATAGAATCTGATGTAATTGCATACATGTATACATCTCATTATAAGCGTCCAGCCCACAATGATCAATTTCTTCTGTCATATTTCTTCACAAAAATTTGTCCATGTTATTTGGAGCAACATGTGTCAGCCATAAGCTCGCCTGTTTCTGGGAGCTAAGGTAGTCCGATCCTCAGGATCTGAACATCAGCAGCGAAGTAATTGCTCACAAAAAATCTCTGAATATACGTGTAATGCATACATGTGTATTTATCGCGTTATTTCAGAATGTTTCTTTAATGTTCATTGTTATAATTAATATATTACATGTACTCGTATATCATACAATAATTAAATGATTAAAAATATAATCACATCTATCTCAAATTCATTTTCATAAAACGGAGATAAAAGCATCAGTTTTACAGTTAAATGCATTTTTTATTCAAGAAGGAATAAAAAACAAATACACTGTACAAGAAACTATTGGTTTCCAGGTATTCGATGGAAAACGTAAATTACATAATACACAATGTAAAAAGGCGTTTGTTGTCACTTACACTGCAAGACTTCGCTTCTTATGCTATCATTGCAAGACATCACTTGCATGACTCCGGGGTTATGAACTCTGGAGTTAGGGTGGTGCTCTACTAAACTACAGGAGTCTGAAGTTTTTATCATAAAAAAAATGCCCCCCAAAATTTTCCCACCCTCAAATTAAAAAAAAATTATTTGAGGGTGAGAAAATTTTATTCCACATTTTTTTGGACGATAAAAACTTCACAATCCTGTGAATAAACATATACATGTAGTAAACATGTTTAAAATTCTTTTATTTTTTAGCATATAAACTAGATGCATGATGAGCAAGAGTGTCTTTTCAAAATCTATATTTGTGGTCCTGGGGATATTTAATAGATTACAGTGAAAATATACCATTTCTCTGAAAAATCCTCTCTGATCCCGGGTATTGCGATAACAAACTAAGAACATAATTATTACAGTGTGAAAGGGTGCTTTCAAAATTGTGAATTTCCAATCCCTGGGCCAGGGGTTTGGTCTCTATTGATTTTATATGTTGAAAATGCATTAAATTATAAATTCTTTCAAAATCTTCTCTGTCCTATATAGTTTTATAGCAAACAAAGCGAGTGCATGATTATACATCCTTCTTTCAAAATTGTTACATTGTGACCCAAGCTTAACCGTCTCTTGTTGGAAAAATGGGACTCTTGATTATATATACAGTGAAAATGAACAACTTCTTGTGGCCATTGAATCAGGGGCTGTTACTGGGTATGTTAGGAGTCTGTCAGAGGGGCATTCTATTACTGTTCATGGTAAAAGTGCACAATTTTTATTCAGAAATCTTTCTCTGTACCAGTTTTATGATTTGAATAAACTTGAATATGAGGATGGTTCCATATAAAGTGAAATCACAAATTTTCGCAAGGGTGGGTTTAATTTTCGTTAGTTTCAAGCTATGAAGAGACCCATGCATTCATGTCCACCACGAAATGTAAAATGTTATATCATAACTACTCAACAATACTTCATCCACGAATTCAAATCCCCAAGAACCAAGAGTTTTTACTCATACCACGAAAAATTTGACCCCACGAAAATATGTGACTTTACAGTATTTAACTAATCATTTGATTTTAAAAGATTTTCCCTGTATATTCGTACTGTGCTTAAATAAGTAAACCTTTAATTTCCAATAGTGGTGCCAGCAATAATTGAGAACAACAGCCAGATTGACAAGATTCACAGATTTTACTTGAAATGTAAAAGAGAAACAAAAATTATAATTATAAGTCTATGATGTATTGTCTAATCATCTTGCATAAACTGTGGTGTTAACGGTCGATCTGCATGTACAACTCTGTTAGGCACTCCTAAGTCATAGGCTAAGTCATTCATTTCATCTGAAACAAAAACAGATTAAAAATTACTTAAATATGCTCCAGTATACAAAACAGTAATGCCATTGCCTGGGATCAAGATTTTCTAAACTGTCTCAGACTTACTCTACTTATATGGCAAAATCTATCACAGAGGAACATCTATTTATAACAGACAGCTAAAATTGTGTGGTCAGAGAACTTCGTACATTTATCTTTTGTTATTGGTTAATGCTTTTGTACTTTCTAATTATAGGTTGAAAAAATATACCGTTATGTTATTGTACGCATTATTTTGATTTATCCTTGCAGAACATGAAAGGTTTTGTTTAGCTCCAAGAAGTTTTCCGATTCCAAAATTACAAATACAGATATATATATACAAGCCAAAGGGGATTTTTTTGATGACTTGTTGTAATCAGTATTCAAGGTCATCTCACCATAGTATTTAAGCCACCCAATGTCTTTGTCTAGTCTCTTTATGGCCATCTTAATTCTCATCTGATCTTCCTGGAATACTTCTTCATAAGCCTGCAGCTCCCCTGAAAAAAGTCAGACAATCATTTAGAGGAAAGTTTCATATCATCAAAAAAATTGAAACAGACTGAGCTGTTACATTTTTTAAAGGAATTGTTAGAATACATTACAGCTGTATATACAGAAATGGGAATATACAGTGCTATGCGGACAAGAAGTCAGGTACTCATGCATTATTCTCCATCAAGATATTAATGTTAATGATTGAGTCATCAACATCTCAAAAGAGAACACTCATACATCAAAGTGTTAAAATATTATACATGTGAGTCCTATTAATCTACTTTCGAATGTATATACAGTCAAATCCCCCTCCCAGGGTTTGAAATTCACTATATATGTACAACTCGCAAAATACGAGTTAGATTATCCAAATCGCGAGTTAAAATTTTGTAACTCACAAAAATTTGCTAGCTGATTTTTTCTTTGTAAATTTCACCAGTGGAAAAATATCCTTTTCAAATGGAATTAATCTTTCTCTCTTTAGTTTCTGTATATATCTGCCATTTTTAAATGATTGAACATGTGCCATGTCTGATGATCATGTGGAAAATTACAAGTTTTTAAAAACATTGATAGATGGCGGTTTATGTTTAAAAGCTTTCATTTTAAAATTGCGAGTCATCAATACTCATCATTTGAAATTGAGAGTTCATTTTTTTTTGGTACTCACAATTATTTGGAGTTGTAATTTTCGGGAGTTTCTACCCCTGCCTCCCATCTTAATTGTGAAAAAAGATACATCTACTATATTATAGCGAGCGCAGCGAGCGTCGCAAAGCGACGCTCGCGAAGAGAGCTCAATAGACTAACGTGTATGAACAGAGGAAATTTGGATTGAAATCTGTACATACGTCAGCCAAATTTCTCTGTGCAACATTCCCAGAATTCCTGCACTACCCAATGTCCTTTGCGCGAATAAATCAAAAATAGTAAAAAAATTAAAGGAATATTGTTTCTTACCGAAATCTTAACGAAATGATTTAGCCTTACCTTATTCAAAAAAATACCCCCATGCCACAACACCGGCCTTCACCTTGCCCTTCGGAAATGATACAAATGACGTCACCGGAAACTTACGAATTTTGACGAAGTTATGTCGGTTGCTTCCGTGAAAGGTGGGGGTGGGTGGGTAGGTTAGGCTTATAGTTTTGTGATCTCTGGAAAACATGTTGCGGTGCATAGCAACAACTTACTTGAAAAGAACGATTAAATGCAATCTCTTTTCCATAAAACTAGAGTTTGCGTCCTAAGTCAACATAACTTTTCATCTGACGTCATACTTTCGTCACTTCAACGGTTCGGGTACTTCCGATTTTGTCGGAAACTTCCAAGAAGTTTGGAATCTCGATCCCGATGCTTGCGAAATGATTTCTTTTTATAGTTTTGTTTTATTCTTTTTGCTTTCTTTTTCTTGAATGATAGACAGTACATGTGTAGGTTTTTGATAGTAAATAAACTGCGCTCGCCCCAACGGTCACACCGTAAAACATATTAAACATAGTATAGTAGATGTATATATATTTTTTTCAACTATTTAGATGGGAAATGCTTATGTGTATGATGTTAACTGGTTAATGAAACATGAAATACTCACTCTTCTTCCTAAAGCCATACACTACTCCCAAAGTAAGAGCAAAATATCTTGCAGTCTGCAAATAAGGAAAATTTACATAAAACTTTATTTAAAATCATTGACATCACATGAATTTATGTGTTTACTTGAACACAAGTAGTAAGTAACACAGAACAGTTTACAAAGCTAACGATAGAGGAAATTCGAATTTTGACAATATTCAGTTACTCGTTTGGGTGCATCTAAATTATGCTCAAAACTAAGTCAAGAAAATAAACATGATCATCAAAGACAAACCTTTAGACCAGGAGAAACACCTGGGACATGTTTCCAGTATTTAAACGACATGGTTTTCGGTCGTGGAAGGTCAGTCGACACTGGAATGGCCCCAAAAACCGATGACAAGGTAAACTCACGAGGAGTTCCTGAAAAGGAGGAAAGAACTGGTTCGGATAAAAACGAATAAGAGTTGCTCCCACATATACTTTAAAATGTTCCCAGAAACTTTTCGGTAACAAAAATTCATAATATTTCCAAAACTTTACAAAACTTATATTTAACTCTATAGTTTTTACTATTTACGTGTGGAAAGGTTCGAGCCCCCTCCCAGATAATTTAACCCTGTGGCTTATGATGGACATTTCTTTCAATATACATTTATTATATATCCTACACTCTTTTTTATATAGTATTTGTGCATAGAAGCTTCATTTTAAATATTTTTGTATAGAACCTTTATTTTCTTTTACTTACCCTATTTTATGCCCCCATAATCAAAGAATTGGGGGGGGGGGGTAGGTTAGGCTTATAGTTTTGTGATCTCTGTTCGCAAAACCTTTAACACTGCCCATAACTTTTGATTGCTTGGATCAAGGGTTCTTTTGTACTTCATATGTGTATTCATTGTGACAAGACATAGTTTCCATAGATATAAATATTTTGACCTTGACCTTTGAGTTTGACCCATTAAAACATAAATCAGAGATTCGGGGGTAAAGAGTTTTTGCCCTGTCCGTCCGTCTGTTTGTCCGCACAGACTTTATAACCTTATATATCCATAACTTTTGAGCACATGGGGCTATAAGTATGGCTTTCGTATTTCACAGGTGTATTCCTTGTGACAATTAAGACCTTTTCTTTTGGTACCACCCCCCCCCCCCACTTTTACCAGAATATTTCCGAGCTTTAACCATGCAGCCAATTTTTTTAATAGAATATTTGGTGCTAGGAATTTCATACTTCACGTATGTGTAATCACTGTGACAAGATTTTTCATGGGGTATAAAAATATTTGACATTTTGACTTGACCTTTAGTTTGACCCACTTCAACAAAATCTTTCACATCCTTAACTATAACTTTTGAAACGTTAATATTAGGGCTTTCATATTTCACAGGTGCATTCCTTGTGAGAAGACCTTAAAATTTCTTTGGATACCAACGATTTTGACCATTTTGCCTTGGAGTTTAACTTGCATTTCATCCCTCGCCATTAGCTGCAATATGGGGGTTTCAGTGTTACACATATTGTTCTTTCTTTTTTGCAGGTTTATCTTTACTATTTGAATTAAAACACTCTTTTTGCACATCAAGCACTTTAAAAAGTTTCAGATGTATTTGTTGTGAATCGAAAAAAAATTATTGACACAACGTTAACGGTGAATGAGTGTTGCCTCCTCCTACTCTGTCCCGGAGACATTTTTGAATACTCATATGTAAATCAAGATTTTTTTCTGAGGACAAATTTATATTTCTAAACTAAACATGACCTTGACCTTGGAAATTTGACTCACTTTTTTGAAAAAAAAAAATTAACCTTGGCCATAACTTTTCAACAGTTAGTACAAGGGGTTTAATTCATATTTCACATGTGTATTCCCTGTGACACGCCTTCCTTTGGATACTAACAACTTTGACCTTTTAAAGCCGACCTTGGAGCTTGAATTCCATTTGAGAGACTTCAACTCTCGCCATTGGCTGACATTTAAGTGGACATCAGTGTTTCACAAAAAACTTTTCAGTTTTTGGGTTAACTTTCATAATTTTTTTTATTCTGAAAGTATGGACGAAAGCTACAGATTTGCAGAGAAAAGGAATAAAAGTTTCAGAATAAAAAAGAGAATAATTGACCAACGCGGCACTTGTTTTAAAAGGCTTAAAATGCCAGCTTTGCAATTTTTTAATGACCTTGGCCGAGTTTCCGTTTTTGTCCCGAAGCAAATATTTTTATCTCCTCAAGGTGGTAAGCGTGTAGTTGACAGTGATTGTGGCAAAGTGTAGCCGTATTGTAAATATCATAAACAAGGAAAAATTCAAAGTTGAAGGTCCAGTTATTCTTATAAATCCAGGTTTCTGGATATTTGGATTATTTTACCTGCATCTTCATTTACAGCGATGCCAATCTGATGTAACAGGGTCGCTAAATGAACAGGACCGAATTGTTTTGGGCTTAAAATTGACCCGCACCCATGTTCACGCAGACTTGCAGACGAAAATGGATAGTGACTGGCTAAGACTACCTTTAATTTTGTTGTATTTCATTGTTTTTCTCGTAACAGGAGTGACAGTGATATTGGCAGCTGTAGGAAAATCACTCGGAATCAGGAAATTATACATAAACACTCTCATATTAATATTTGAGGTAAACAGTGCCATGCTTCTGAAGTTTTTAAAGACCATACTTTGTTTTGTTGCAGGTTTTCGATTAATTTGGATACTTCTTAGAGAAATATTGATTCATTAAATGAATAATTAGGTCTTTAAGTGGCAATATGAAAGAGTTTTGCATATGCTTTCACAAAATCATTCCACACTTGCATGCATGACCCGTGAGGTCCAGCTGATTTTTTGCTTTAAAAATTATGATATGCATATGTATAATGTAGTGATTAGTGAACCAGTAGGTCTAATACAGGTAAGATGAGGGAACCAAAACATGGAGTTTGGCAATGAACGTCAACATTTATCATCCCACCTTTTTGAAAACATTAAATTTTTTTCTAGATTCCCAGTGTTTTCCCTTTATTTCACTGTAAAGGGTTAAAGAACAGTTGTAACAGGCTTTGAACAAAATCTCTGTAGGCCTAACATTAATTAATTACCTGACTGAAGATTCAGGGGGCCAGGGTTTGGATCCTGGTCTGGTCCACTGCATTTTTCTCCTCTTCGACACAGTCAGCCGGGCCCAATCGTCGGTGTCTAAATAGCTTATTTGGTAGAGCATCTGACCGGGATATTCAGGGGACTTGGGTTCAAATCCCGTCAAAGGCACCTGAATTATTTTCAGACGCTCAATAAGCCAAATATCAAAAAACTATACCCCCTCTATAAATATATGTAAAGGGGTTATAATTATTTTATATTTGGCTAATTGTGCGTATGATAGATAAGAATTCAGGTTCCTGTGATCCAGGTCTGGTCTGGTCTGCTACATTGTAAATATACATGGAACATTAATGGTGGGTTAGGATTTGGATATTGGCCTGGGTAGCTCAGTTGACAGTGTTCAGGGTTATGGGTTTGATTCGTAGTTCAGCCATACATTCTCTAGCTCCTTTCCTGTTACCATAATGTAACAGTATTTCAGATTTAACATGTTTAAAGTATTACAATATATAATAGATATCAACATTCTGGAAGTTTCTAGATTAAAAAAAAATTCAAGATATAGTATGCATTATGTTAGATGTGCTGTATTGCATTACTTTGATGTACAATTTTCAAGATGATGTGATTGTGATAAGTTTTTATTAATTATAATCACTATTACAGTAGATATATATGTATATATGTATAGCATTTCAGGGTTGTCTTTGATAATTGAAAAGATATACATGTAGCAGGGGACGATTGAAAAAGTAGAATGGGTCTGGGGTTCCTGACCCCAAACAGGGGTGAATACCAGAATAACCAGGGGATGACATTATTACAGGTTGGGAAATTTACTGGCCCCGAGGTCTTAGGGACAGCCTTGCATTTATTCAAATTAAATTATATAGTTTTAATTATTTATTCCCTGTCTAAGTAATTTTCTCTCCCAATATTAACACTGCATGCATTTTATTCCATGCCCTCTCGTAAATTAGTCAAGGCATTACCATAATAAGGCAAGGTGGAGGGGACACACTTCTTTATTTTAAGCCCACAAGTTCATAAACAGGTGTAAAACATTTGGACATGTTAAAAGATTCTCAGGTAACCATTTAAGAAGGACACTGACCTTCTAGTTAAAGGCTAATGCCACTTTGTACATGTTTTAGGTTGCATGCGTTACAGTACATCTCATTACAGTGGTCATAGTTTTAATACATATACATGTACATTGCAAATCTTTGGAAATAAAATGATAGCATGCATACAAAAGATTATTGATAAGGTTTTATAAATAAAAAAAAATCAATATCATTGATGAAGTTTCTTAAGATAGTATATTCCAATTTTGAATAGATCTAATAGGTCAACAAAATGAATACATATTGAAAAGGGGAAGTGGGGTAAAAAAAAAAAGATGACTCATAGCTGTTGAGTTCTAGTCTTCTCTGACCTAATTGTTTTTAATACAAGCTGTTTTGCATCTTGAAGAAAATTTTAAATCAATACCTAAAGAAAGCTAGTACACACAAGCCACAGGATGTAAGATATCTTTTGTTTGTTCGATTTCAACATGTTCAAATGACTGATAGGTTCTGATGTGCATTGTAAAGGTATACATGGTTTATGTGTCTTATTATAAACATTTCTATAATCATGATAATGTACTGATTTACCTATACAAAACATTTGAAAGATTTTACTTGATGTAATCATTTTCCCCATCAATAATTAATGGTAAATTTCTGGGAAACAGAAAATTCAAAGAAATTTATAAAGTTCTTAAAATAGATATATTTTAAAAGTTATATTAATTAGCATCTACATGTAACTCATATATTTATTTTCCTTTCAGTTTGGTAGGACAAAGATAGAACGATATGAAAAAGAGAGAAATCACAACAGAGAACCCAGAGAGTCAGAAAGTCAGGACGATTCAGATAAATCCGACAAAGCTAGCGTAGAAAATGGAGGCAAGTAATAGTGTGTCCTGTGATGAATTTAACTTCTTGATTTCTGTAATACATGTAGGTAGAATCCAGAGTTATGAGTACATTATGACCTAAGTGTTATTTTGATCCAAAGTTCAATCCTGGATTACAATTAATGCATGCATATATATGTATACATGACTGTATAGCTGTTTGTCATTTCTATTTCATTCAAGCTAAAGATCGTAATAGCTAGGTATCAATCTTTAAATACATGTAGATTAGCTAGGGCTCTAGGTTGTCTCCTTGGTCCCATTCCTATTTCTAAAAGGATTTTTTTTCCCAAATCAGATTCGTTAATTATCCCTGCATACACCATAAACTTTGATGCATCTCCTACCAATACCCTATAAGGCCAATTCCAGTTTACGGAACATTTCTTGTTTTACTGTTGATGACAATTTCAAGTGTGAGAAAATTATTTTCATTTGGCAAGATGACATCACAACATACAGGCGTTATTATTCAAGATAATGGCATTATTTGTGACTTCAATAAACAGGTATGTGTAGGAGAGTGCTATGATCAGATTCCAGACTGCATACATTGCATTTTCCAGGATTTCCCAAAATGCAATATGGTTCCTAATTTTACCATTTTTGTTGCCTTGGCCCAATGCCGGAAAACCAGTAAATGTTAACTGTCTGTCAGTTAACTAGTAGGCTAGGAGGTAACACAGCTAGATTACAGTAAAACACGCTTACAACAAAGGGCCAGGGACCCAAAAATCTGCTTCGTTATAATCGTAATTCTTTATAATTTAAAGTCAAGGAGAATGAAAATCATGCACTTCGCTATAAGCATCAATTCGTTATAAGAATGTTCGCTATAATTGCATTATATTGTACTATCTAATCTTCACAGCTTGCTCTATAGCTATAACGACAGGTATATGTTTGGTGATTGATAATTATACGATGAGATAATGTAGTAGTAATGGAGAGGACTTTGTTTTTAGGATGTACTTTTATCAAATATCTTTCTAAAGGTGATTGTACCATAGGTGATCTAAAAGTGGGTACTTGTTACAGATTCATGAGTACACATGTATCGAGGTTTTTTTCAAACATGAATGCACATGTCACTGATCATGCAGGTCTTTAATATACATCACTATCGTATATAGGTTATATATGTTATATAATTCAGAATTACATGTCAGGTGTTTATATACCCAATTGACAAGGCTGCATGTCATATTTCAGAGTTGGTATCTGTAGAATATAATTTAAAGTCAGCTAATGTATGAAATGACATTTTTAAAAATCAAAGCTGCATTTTGTATTCTCAGAGATAGACGTCTTTTGCATTTCATGCTTCCATAAAAAATTCATGCAAGTGTGCAGAACAAATTGAAAAACATGCATTACCATGCACAATTACTTCGAGCGATGTTCATTTGTTTGAACACTTGCATACGTATAAATGTGTAAGTACTCGGTATTTCATTTGATTATAAAAATGTACATATATTGACATTCAGGGTTGTGCGTAAAGACCTAGGTTCGGGGAATTTCCCCACCCCTGTTTATTCTGGCATATTGCCCTTACAACACCCATTAGAGGAGGATCTACCCTGTTACAAATTAGTTATCTTGATCATGTTAAATATACGGTATTTACAGTTTTATTACCATTTCTAATAAATAGAGAAGATCAAATGAAGTTTGATAATTATAAATTCCGCAAGTACATTCCAGCTAGCATATTTAAATATTTTTATACAGAAAAAAATATCTTCATGGTATTTTGATTGATTTTGTAGAGAAACCCCTGATTCAGCGAGACATAGCTATAGATGCCTTCCAGGGTATACACATACCATCCAACAGGGCTGACTATGACCTCACTAACCTTAAAAAGGAATTCCACATCTCGGATATCATGTATTTTGCAAAATGTGGAGTTGAGGTTATTTTATTTTAAAATTTTTGTCAGTTGTCAGTAAATGGAGAGTATTTTATATATTTCTAAAAAGTTTTAAAATATTGTGTTTGAATTTGTAAATTTTGCTAGTGGAATAAAATTGTAATGATCATGAATATTAGTGTGTGTATAATTATGTAAACATCATTTATAATATGAAATTATTATTACCTGGTAATGTAGATTTGCTTTTAATACTACCAATATGCAAAAGTTAATCGGGACAAAGCGTTTTAAATATTTAAATTTTCATTCATGTTTTAGGCCATAATTGAAGATGATGTCACCAAGTGTTTCTCAGCTGAAGGTTAGCGATGTTCTTTACCCTTTTTGAAAAAGGGTTATGAAAAAAAAAATTTTCATAATAAATTATGCCATTAAGTAATATATATGGCATTTACGTAGTATATGTACATGTACAAGTATTGCTTTTAATCCATTTGTTTGATCGATAGTTTAATTAATACATATGTAGTATATGTACTACCGTAATAGAGAAATGAAATTTTTTGAAAGATCTTATTCCTCAGGACAGTTTCTATTTGCAAGATTAACATATTGAGTATTAATTGTGATTGCAGAATTACGCACATGGAATTTTTTAACAAGAACTACGCATGGCCACCAGTTTATAAGGTAGAATATGAAGATGATTGTTGTATTTTTTTTATATGAATTTTTTGTAAAAGTTGTAATATGTATACCTGCTGGATTCTGTTAGAACATGTATATTTGTTGTAAACTTTTCCAATTTTCATCTTCCCCTCAAGAACAACTGGGCTGCTTTCAACAAAACTTTGCTCACAGTATCTTTGGATAAAGGGCATTCAGATTTGTTCATGTGAAAGGCCACCCCCTCTTAATAAGGAAAATTGGGAAACCTCATTTAAAAATCTACTTCTCAAGAACAATTGCCCAGCAAAGATGAGACTTATGTAAAACCTTGCATGCAGACCTTGTGTACATTGTAGGTTTGTTCAAAGCAAGACAACTGGGTGGTAGGGTAGAGCCACAAGGGGCAATGAATATTTTTCATTGGAATATATAGGAAAAATCTTTTTAAAAATTTTGCTCTTAAGAACAGCAAACTCATGATTAGTCATATCTAGAGGTGTAGATTTAATATTTTTACCGGTACATGTACAGGATACTAAGAAGCTTTAAATGTAAGTGATAGTGTGCACTGTAGATGAGAATAATTTGATTTTACTTGTAACACGACATTTGATTGGATAAAAGATTTTATCCATTTTGTATAACATAACTTGCCTACGTCACAATGAGATATGTCAAAAAACGTATTACTCTGCTTGACGTTACTTTTAAAATATAATCAATGTGAAGCCTTATTCTAGGGGAAAAATTGTCTCACATTGTCTGCACTGAAATAAAATCATAAGGAGTGAAGCTTATTTCAACTTATATTATACGATATAACAAAACTTGGGGCAGTGTACTCTTTTTTATAACTCGCTTCGTGGTTTATAAAGCGTAAACTGCCCCAAGTTTTGTTATATCATATAATATAAGTTGAAATAAGCTTCATTCCTTAAAGAGATTAATGATGGGTATCACCAAAATTTTGGAATTTCTAATTATGTACCTAGTAAATACCAGTATTTTAGTCTGTGTATCATGATACCGGTACATATCACACAATTAAAAATCATGATATATCAGTATGCATATAAACAGTCCAGTCCAATACGAAAATTCGTAATATTACGAAAAAACGTAAGATTACGAGAAAGCGTAATATTACAAGTTATCGTAATATAAAACTTATATTACAATTTTTCGTAATGTAGTTAAATTACGAATACGCGTAATATTGCAGATGTAAGAGACTATATTACGAGTTTTCGTTATCCAAGACAAATTCAAGCATTGCAAGAAATTGAGTGGCGGGTAGCAAAGTATGACGTTTACTACGAGATGCCATGGGCGATAACTTGTACGACTCTTACTGAGATTTGAATTCTGTGTATTTCAATATAAGAATTGCACGAAGAGTTGAATTATGAGACGAGGTATGATTTTTAGGGTAGACTTCGCAAGAAAAGTAGGGAGTTCGGGTGATATAGACCAATGCGACATGCTTAAGCAAATTTTGAAATTTACTGGAAAATTGGTCTTATCCTTGGGAAAATTCCTATAAAAGAATAATAAAAGAAATTGTCCACTCACCCATCGTTGGCGGTACTTTCTTCTTGAATTTCCATGCTTTATGATAGGCGTAACTGATCAAACTGACCGCGTGCTATCAGTAGCCATGGAATCTGATATATTACTGACGTCATACTTTGCTACCCACCACTCAATTTCTTGCAATGCTTGAATTTGTCTTGGATTATGAAAACTCGTAATTTATAGTCTCTTACAATCTGCTATATTACGCGTATTCGTAATTTAACTACATTACGAAAAATTGTAATATAAATTTTATATTACGATAACTTGTAATATTACGCTTTCTCGTAATCTTACGTTTTTTCGTAATATTACGAATTTTCGTATTGGACTGGACTGATAAAATTGCACATCCCTAGATGAGATCTAGGCCACTGAACCTCTTGTTAATTGTGATCTTGTCTTTTTCAGTGTTCGTCTTACAGTTTTATGGTGTTTGGGATGTCTATTTAGATACCTGTTTTTACCATTTAGGTTTGTACTTTGCATATGTATAAATTTTAAATCACAGTTGTTTACAGTTATCTACAAAGACGAGGAACTGAAAAGTTATGGGTTTTGATATTGCTGGTAATAAGATAAATATTTTATTTCTGTTAGTGTATTGGTACAAATCATTTAATGTTAGAATCCTCTTGCTGAAAGTGATGAAAGGAAAATATTTAGAGTGTTGAATCCAAATACAGTATCTATATATAGCTTGGAGCATATATAATTATATTATTGATAAAAAGTGAAGATTATCTGAAACAGAGGTGGATGAAAATTCAAAGAACCATTTTGTATAATACCGGTACATGAATTTGCAGCTGGTGCATCTTCTCTAATCTTATTTGAAAATTTTTAAGATATTTTGAAATTGTTTACTAGATGGAGCAATGTTTTGTCATCAACGGATCGTTAATGGAATTTATTTTGTAAGAAAGCAATGGAATAAATATTTTATTCTTTATTGTTTACCGAGGCATTAATTTTTCTGCGTAAATAATGAAAAAATTTATGAAAGTGGCACAGATTTGCTTTGAAATTGACGTAAATTTTACTGATTTGGGGGCATTTTTCGTAAACTTGAGCCTTAAAAATGTCGAATTCTGTACATTGGGCGACCCCAGCGGTTCTGAGAAAAAAGTATCGACCTAAATTCTGTAATTACGGTACATGAATTTGCAGCTGGTGCATCTTCTCTAATCTTCTTATTTGAAAATTTTTAAGATACACAGTATATATATATTGTAATGTTGTTATTATATATGCCTCAATGATAAACTTTGTTTTACTTTGATATCAGTTTTTATTAGCATAATTTTTTTCAGAAAATCTTATCATATCTATACCCCCGCTCCGAAGGAGAGGAGGGTATACTGTTTTACCCTTGTGTGTCTGTCCGTGTGTCTGTGCAGCTGTGTGTCCGTGTGTCTGTGTTTCCGTCCGAAACAAATTTTCGTCACAGTTTTCTCAGCAACTACTCATTGTAGATGCCTGAAATTTTAACACAGTCTTCTCTGAGGCATGCCATATATGGTGGGATACATTTTCGCTCAAATCGGATATCAACTTCCTGTTTGTCTCTGCGTCTGTCCATTTCATACATAACAAATTTTCGTCGCAGTTTTCTCAGCAACTACTCATCGTAGATGCTTGAAATTTTAACACAATCTTCTTTGAGGAATGCCATATGGTGGGATATATTTTCTCTCAAATTAGATATCAACTTCCTGTTTGTCTGTGGGTCTGTCCGTTTCATACATAACAAATTTATCGTCACAGTTTTCTTAGCAACTACTCATCGTAGATGCTTGAAATTTTAACACATTCTTCTCTGAGGCATGTTAATGGTGGGATATATTTTCGCTCAAATCTGATGTCAACTTCCTGTTTGTCTCTGCATCTGTCCGTTTCATACATAACAAATTTTCGTCACAGTTTACTCAGCAACTACTCATCGTAGATGCTTGAAATTTAATCACAATTTTCTCTGAGGCATGCCATATGGTGGGATACATTTTAGCTCAAATCCGATGTCAACTTTCTGTTTGTCTCTGCATTTGTCCGTTTCATACATACATGTAACAAATTTTCGTCACAGTTTTCTCAGCAACTACTCATCGTAGATGCTTGAAATTTTAACACATTCTTCTCTGAGGCATGTTAATGGTGCGATATATTTTCGCTCAAATCTGATGTCAACTTCCTGTTTGTCTGTGCGTCTGTCCGTTTCATACATAACAAATTTTCGTCACAGTTTACTCAACAGCTACTCATCGTAGATGCTTGAAATTTAAACACAATTTTCTCTGAGGCATGCCATATGGTGGGATACATTTTCGCTCAAATCCGATGTCAACTTCCTGTTTGTCTCTGCATCTGTCCGTTTCATACATACATGTAACAAATTTTCGTCACAGTTTTTTCTGCATATATATGCCATATCTTGGGATACATTTTTTTTTCAAATCGGATATCAACTTCGTGTTTGTCTGTGCGTCTGTCTGTTTCACACTTAACAATTTTTCGTCGCAGTTTTCTCATTAGCTGTTCATAGCAGATGCTTTAAATTTTATTTCAATCTCTGTTGAGGCATGCCATATGGTGGGATTAATTTTGATATGAATCTGATGTCAACTTCATATTTTTCTGTGCATCTGCCTGTGATTGAACTTTTATATATATTAACATGATAGTGCTTATTTACATCAGAGCGGGGGTATTACTAGTGAGCATTGGCTCACAGATTTCTTGTTTTGATTTATTTAAGGCTGATACTGTTATGCATTGGACTTGGTTGGTTACTATTTTCTACAGCTGTTATAGGAGTATTACCAGATATACCGTGAGTACAAGTCTTAAAGGTACAAACATTTATACATGTAGTACCACAGACTCAAACTCTGCTATTTTGGGAAAAAATTTAAGTAAAAGCTGTGTAAAAATTTTATTTTCAGATTGAGAAGGCAGTTAAATAGATATGCTTCCTTGGTCTGCCATAGAATCCTGTGTAGAGCCTGCTCTGCTGTTGTGACGTACCATGGCAGGTAACAAAATGTCACTTAATTTTTCAATTAGACAATTAACCAACATACAGGTTAGAACAAGAGGGTATAAAAGTGAAAAAATTTGTATCTTCATCTCTTAAGTGTTTTAAAAATTTTATCACTGACTTCTTTTAAAGCATTGTCTGTCTGTCTGACTGTAAAAATATTATAATTTTCAGAGAGAACATGGTTAAGAATGGGATCTGTGTGGCTAATCACACTTCTCCATTGGATGTTATCATTCTGTCCTGTGATAACTGCTACTCCCTTGTAAGTTGTACTTACTGCTACAATTATTGACAAGATCAAAGAATGAAGAATTATATCATTGCAAAAAGCATAAATTAGTGTCAAACACAGGTCAAGTACAATTAGAAATGCAGAGAATTTTTAACAAATTGACTGAGATAAAAACATGAATACATGCATGTAATGAGTTTTCTTTAACCCCCTCCTTAAGGTGGGCCAGAGACACGGGGGATTTCTGGGTCTAGTCATGAAACTCTTGGCCAGGACTGCTGATCACATCTATTTCGAGAGGTCAGAGGTCAAGGATAGATTTATTGTTGCCAAAAGGTAAGGGTAGACTAAGCTAATATTGTTGTGTGTGGAAATGTAAATCATTCCAATGAAAAATATGCAATATTTTTTCCCTTTCTTTTTCCTTTCAGATTAAGAGAGCATGTAGAAGATAAAAATAAATTACCTATTTTGATTTTCCCAGAGGGTAGGTTAAAATGCATAAACATGAAAATTTTATCTTAAATTTCCGATTTGAGCTATAAATACTGTTAGTCTATTGTTAAAATCTCAGAATGCTAATTCAAAGAAAACCTGAGGCCTGTTCTACACAGCGAGTTTCTATTAGAGGTAAAAGGAATTTTGTCAAGTGCTCGCAAACTTTCGCTCTCTTGAACAGGCCTTGAAAGTTTATCAACAAATTATCGGTGAATAGATTATGCTGTCAAAATCAAATATTTTTGGTGGAGTTGATTTTTAGAAAGAATATTCTTTTAATTAATTGTACAAATTGGTAAAAAATTAAACCCCATAAATTGTAACTTTGAGTTAAGATGAAGAAGTCACCTCTACTCTAATTTTGAAACAGAATACATGTAATATTTTCAAAGCAATACTTGGCAGTGAATTTTAATAAAAGAGAACTTTTCTTTAAATGATAAAAGGCAGTTTAATTTTAATGCAATATCCCTTTTCTTTCACAGGCACATGTATAAATAATACATCTGTGATGATGTTCAAGAAGGGCAGTTTTGAAGTCAGTGATACTATATACCCTGTAGCTATAAAGGTAAGGTTAGAGAAATACTGTAGACGTACTTTTTTCCACGGGGTCATAATTACGCGGAATCTCAATTTCTGTTTAATCTGCGGGTAGAAAATTACACGGATTTTATAGATTGTCACTATGTGTGTTACATTTATAATATTATAGACGCTTGGACAAATTTCCGCGGAAAATTTGTGACCGCGTACATAGCGTAAATTAATACCACGCGGAAAAAAGTACTTTTACAGTAAGGTGAGATTGAAAGTTAAATGTTGCAGCCCTCACCACAGTTAGAATACCTCTCATATACTCGGAAATGATTGCAGAATCGTTCCGAAATGGTTTTGAAGAATACAAAAAGATATGCACTGAAAATAACTTTCAAATTAATTGTAACAAACCTTTTTGAGGTTGTTCATGTCTTTAAACCTGAATAAAATATAATCCACATAAGGAAGAAAATACAACTGATTTTCTCAACATTTTTTCTCAACTCAAATTTTACGTGATGTTTGCATTCGAAACTCTCTGAATTGTTCATAGTAAATGCACCGGGTCGGTAAGACAATATCATTTTAACGATAGAACATTCTATCTTCTACATTGCGAGTATATGGGAGGTATTCTAACTGTGGTGAGGGCTTGTCCAAAGACACTGTCAGGTTATTCTAACTATGCAATTCCCTATTCAACTCATTTTCAAAGTAGCTAGTTAATAATATGTATTTGATAAACTCACATACTGGTACATACGTAAGGGTTAATGTAGGAGTAGCGCTCCATTCCTTAAAAGTAATGGAGCCGAGGCCACAAGTATATAAACCCGCGTAATTTCCACCTCTCTAAATGCTTGTTAGCTCACCTGAGCCGAAGGCTCAAGTGAGCTATTCTGATCAAAATTTGTCCGTCGTCTGTCGTTGTTGTCGTTGTCGTAAACTTTTCACATTTTCATCTTCTTCTCAAGAACCACTGGGCCAATTTCAATCAAACTTGCCACAAAGTATCCTTGGATGAAGGGGATTCAAGTTTATTCAAATGAAGGGCCAAGCCCTCTTCAAAGGGGAGATAATTACGAATTAGTGAAAAATTAATGCCATTTTAAAAAAATCTTCCTCTCAAGAACCACTGGGCCATGAAAGATGAAACTTATGTGGAATCATCCTGAGGTAGTGTAGATTCAAGTTTGTTCAAATCATGACCCCCGGGGGTAGGGCGGGGCCACAATGGCCGACCAAAGTTTTACATAGAAATGTATAGATAAAGTCATTAAAAATCTTCTTCTTAAGAATAACAAAGCCATGAATGGTCATATTTATATGGAAGTATCTTCAGGTTGTGTAGATTCAATTTTGTTCAAATCATGACCCCCGGGGGTAGGATGGGGCCAAAATGGTCGACCAAAGTTTTACATAGGAATATATAGGAAAAATCTTTCAAAATCTTCCTCTGAAGAACAACTGGGCCAGGAAAGATGAAACTCATGTGGAATCATCCTCAGGTAGTGTAGATTCAAGTTTATTCAAATCATGACCCCCGGAGGTAGGGTGGGGCCAAAATGGCCGATCAAAGTTTTACATAGGAATATATAGGAAAAATCTTTAAAAATCTTCTTCTCAAGAACCACTGGGCCAGGAAAAATGAAACTCATGTGGAATCATCCTCAGGTAGTGTACATTCAAGTTTGTTCAAATCATGACCCCCAGGGGTAGGGTGGGGCCAAAATGGCCGACCAAAGTTTTAGATAGAAATATATAGGAAATTTCTTTAAAAATTTTCTCCTCAAGAACAACAAAGCCATAATTGATCAAATTTATATGGAAGCATCCTCAGGTAGTGTAGATTCAAGTTTGTTCAAATCATGACCCCCCGGGGGTAGGGCGGGGCCAAAATGGCCGACCAAAGTTTTACATAGAAATATATAGGAAAATTCTTTAAAAATCTTCTCCTCAAGAACAGCAAAGCCATAATTGATCATATTTATATGGAAGCATCCTCAGGTAGTGTAGATTCAAGTTTGTTCAAATTATGACCCCCAGGGATAGGGAGGGGCCAAAACGGCCGACCAAAGTTTTACATAGAAATGTATAGGAAAATTCTTTAAAAATCTTCTCAAGAATAGCAAAGCCAGGATTGGTCATGGGACTACTTTTGGATTTAAGCTTTTCAAGTATAAACCAATTCTGCTTTTTCCTAGCCACAGTGCTCAGGTGAGCGATGTGGCCCATGGGCCTCGTTTTTATTGTTCATTAATATAAAATATAATATCTATATGATACACTGTAAATGGACATAATATATTTAGTAGTATTTTTTATATACTATAGAAAGTAAGGCAAAAAAAGTGTACTAAAGTCATTTTAATCCGTGTTTCTCAACAGCTTCCTTAGCTAAGTGAAATGAGTAACCGACTTGAAAGCGGAGGGTACCTGGTTCGATTCTTACCATGGGCAATAAAATTTTTATAATGTGACAATCAAGTCTAAAATTTTCATAAACTCTTCTCAAAAATTTTCTACGTTCTTTCCTCAGTAGAGGCACGGAAAGGAGAATAAGAACAAAAGAAATTCCGTTATCAGTGAAATTTGCAACTCTCCATTTCTGAAAAGTAATGGAGAGCTCAAACAAAAGAATGACATCACAGGTGGATTTTACTGATAGGAAATTTTCACATTTTATAATATAATTTTATGACCTTGAGCTTCCTTTAAAAATTTTTTTCCCCAATTTTCTTTAATATTTGATTTCACATAGAACTACTTCATAAAAGGAATTTTTTTGTTTCAGTACGATAAAAGATTTGGAGATGCGTTTTGGAATAGCAGTAAAATGGGAATGGTGCAGCATATATTTGATTTGTTAACAAGCTGGGCTTTGGTGGCAGAGGTGTGGTATCTCCCTCCCATGCATAGAAGTGTGAGTATAAATTTAACAGTTCTATTTCTTTGATATACTTTATTTGTCTGGTGATCAGGGGAAGCAGACTGTCTTTTGGTCTGTTTAGTCAAAACGTTTTAAGTATTTATAAACAGTTTGACTTCCATCTTCAATGATGGTTTTACATTAAAGGTATTGAATTACAAGTATTATGTTGAAAAAAGCTACTGAGCACTAGTGAGCAAAGAACTTCAAGTATTTTAAAATAATATTTCAAAAGAAGTGGTCATGACATCACTTTAATTTTATGATTTTCAAATTAGATATTTTATTCCTAGGAGTTACAGTACCCGCATCGTTATTCTTTACAAATCTATCGTGTCCTATCGTGCGTGTATCCTATCGTATCGTGCGTGTATCCTATCGTATCGTGCGTGTATCCTATCGTATCCTATCGTATCGTGTTTTCCGTTTATCGTGTTTTGCGTTTTCTATCGTGTTTTCCGTGTATCGTGTTTTCCGTTTATCGTGTAGATCGTTTATCAGGTTCTATCGTGTATCGTGTTTTGCGTTTATCGTGTACATTCGGAAACCCTCGCTTTTTATCTTTACTACAGGAAAAAACTACCGAGGTATTCCGAGTTTCTTTTTCGTTTTGTTAACTAAAATAAGATTACTTTAACAGAGAAAGAGAAAAGAAAGTTTTATCCCTTAGTTTTTCATCATTAAAAGAAATATTAAAGTGGGGAAGGAAAAGAATAATATATATAAACAAAATAATTAACAAAATAAATCATTAATAATAATAGAAATAAAGAAAATAATAATTAAATCATGGTCAAGCAGGGAATCAAAATTAAAAAAATGAAATAATCCCCTGGTCTTTTTTAATTCATCGAATTGAATGATGTATTGGGTCAAAATGATTATTTTAAATTAGTCAGAATCAATAGAGGAAGATTTTCGGTAATCCACGGGGTATACGTACCCCGTCCCCCCCAAAAAATAATAATAAAAAGCATGGTATTGATATTCATATTTTTAAACAATAATCATTTTCCCCCGATTAATCGTCTGATAATATTAGGAATGTGTTTTCGCCTCTGATGTGCATATATGCACAATTATTTAAAATCTTGATTTAAAAAAAAAAATAATAACGAAGCATTTAAGATATTGATCCAGATAACTTTAACACCGACTTTGCCGAAGGGCTCAATTTTTAAATATATTTTTTCACTATCTAATTAGTTAAATACCTTAATATGTCTATTTTTTTTAAAATCAAAATTATAAAATGTAATGGATCAATATGCTCTACCCGATTTATTACACCACGACAGTTACTAAAAAGTAGAAGTTTTTCATTTAATTTTATCTGGCATTAGATAATCTAAAAATAATATACAGGAAAAAACATGAAGACTCTAACAGCTTACTTTTCGGAATAAACTGAAAATATAATGCATCTGAGTGTCAAATCCAAGAGCTTTCCTTGCCATAAAACTGACACGTATGTGTACCTCTCTAATCAGCACACTGCCTTCCTGCTGTCAACACCCCCCCCCCCTCCCCCCCCCCCCCCCCTAAATGACAGCTCGGCCCGTGTGTGTTCACCGTCAACCTACCTGAACTGCTCTCTCACCTTGTGTCAAATAGTAATTATTTTCGGGATTCGTTCATACCGTACAAAGATTTTTTTTTTCTAAATAAATTATATAATCGTACAATTACGGGAAAAAATCCTTTCTTGAATTTAAATAAAAATCATATAAATCAATTTAATGAAATAACGTCCCTTAATTTAACCCGCTGATTTATTTTTATTTATACGATGTTTCCATAACATGTAAATAAGTCTTTTAATAACCTCAACAAAAAAAAAAAATGCTGCACTTACAGTAAATGAACTTTCGGATAATCGGGTTTCTTTCGGATCACCGGGTTTTTGTCGGGCTACAGACAGAATTAATTCTAGAAAACAAGTTCATTGATCGTAGAAAAGGGTGAGATAATTCTAACATTCTAAACTATTACAATTTGCTCACATTATTTTTTATTTTTATTTTACGGTATTTTACTATAACAATAAAAAAAGAAGTCTGATTCCGTGTTGACCTTGCAAGACGAGTAAATGCATTGCACCGAATTAATTTATAGTATTAATCGATTACTTTATTTAACTTTTTTTTTCGATTTTATTTTTGGCTATTTGGTTAGATAGTGTTTATCTCATGTTAAATTTGTTATAGACTTTCACCATTCCGCCCTTCAAATATGCCTCATATGAGATTAAATCTATAATAGTTTCCAGAGTTTTAATTCATTTGCCGACTTAATTCTTTCTTAAATTATTTTTAGTAACAGTGCACGCAAAGTCTAATAGCAATGATTTATAATTAGTAATTTAAGTTGGAAAAGTCGCATTTTACTCTTTTAATATTTATTTATTTAGGTTTGTGTTTTGTATGGTAAAGAAAAAAAAGTATCTTATCATTCAATATTCGTTACTCAATGCGAGGTTGTAAGTATATGATATATAAATATTTGCATGCATATATATGAGAGCTTAGCGTTCACGTACATGTACATGTGCAGTTGTAGCAAATTCATATTCTTTTGACACAGTTTACATGTATTAATGCATATTGATGTAGTGCTATTATAGTAGTGATTGTGCAGTGTATTGAAATTAACATTTATTTAGAATTCTACTCAAGAAAATAATTTTTTTGAACTGTATATATAGTTCATGAGAGATATATCACGTTACATTTATCAATTTTGTTATAGCCGATTTCTTTGGCCGACCTTCTACATGTATTGTTTCCTAAGTTTTTATTATTTAATTGCGATTTTGTATACACCGCAGATTGTAAGCTTTAGAGATTAAATACATATATTCATTGAGTATATTTCTTCCGTATGCTAACTTAGTACCTATATTGTAAGCTTTAGAGATTAAATACATATATTCATTGAGTATATTTCTTCCGTATGCTAACTTAGTACCTATAGATAAATTTATAACGTACAAAAGTATTTTTATAATATTAAAATACCGGTAATATCATTTACAAGTATAGTGTTTGAGAATTTTGATATTTACAATAATAATTGGAAATCTCCACCGTTGAGTTGAATTTTAAAAAAGTGCAGTCTGCATTTCAAAATAAATAATTTAATTAATGAAAAAAAAAATGAATAAATAAATAAATAAATAAATAAACTTTTGTAAAATTACCACAGTGATCTCAAGTTGTTTTTTTAATACTTTAAATATAATTTATAATTAGGATTTGAAGCTTTGCAAATATCTAAATTAAAATATTGCAGTAATGAAATAAAAAATAATCTTTTCGTCTTGTCAAAAAACCGTTCTGCATTTTAAAACAATCCTATCAGGTTTTGCGTTTATCCTATCGTGAAGATCGTTTATCAGGTCTATCGTGTTTTGCGTTTATCGTGTTTTGCGTGTATCGTGTTTTTCGTTTATCGTGTTTTGCGTTTATCCTATCGTGCGTGTATCCTGTCGTATCGTGCGTGTATCCTATCGTATCGTGCGTGTATCATATCGTATCGTGCGTGTATCCTATCGTATCGTGTATCCTGTAAAGAATAACGATGCGGGTACTGTAGCATTCCTTCTGAAATAATCACACCTACCGTGATCCCTATGTATTTTTCTGTAATCAAATTCAGTTTTAATAAGGTTTTGGCTTAGCATCTGGAATGAAATATACAATCCAAGATAGTTGTATTTTCTTACAAATTATTTTCAACCATAAAATTTCCAAAAAGCTGTCATTTAAATGAGGTTGTTGAATACCTAAAACACTGACTTATTTGTGAGTAGCCTGCCTCAGATAATTTAGAAGTACTTTTTTCTGTGTGGTATTAATTTACGCTATGTATGCGGTCACAAACATTCGCGGAAATTTGTCCAAGCTTACTTAATATAAATGTACTTGGCATATAGGACAGTCTGAGAAATCCGCGTAATTTTCTACAGAGATTGAGATTCTGCGGAATTATGACCCTGTGGAAAAAAGTACGTCTACAGTAATTAAAACACTGAAACTTTATGGTGGAAAAGCTAACGTCATCACATTTGTTGAGACATACAAAAAAATTATTCTTTACACCCTCTTGAGTAAGCTACTGCTAACAGATACATGTACTACAATTTGTGAATTTTGTGTATTGCTTACTTATAAATAAATTGTTTCAGGAAAACGAGAGTGCTGTTGATTTTGCTAACAGAGTGAAAAAAGAAATAGCCAGACAAGGTGGACTGGTAGATTTATCATGGTAAGTCTCAATGTAAATGGTGATCAAAGTATCATTACTATTTAGCTATTGAAATAGCCTTTTCATGTATGTTAAGTTTTATTGTCGCTGACGTGGGGCAGAGGTTAGAGCATCTGCTCTAGAGTCACTAAGTGAGGAGTTAATTAAGTCAAGGGATGTGGAGACTAGTCCTTCGTATGAGTCCGTATAAACTGAGATCCCGTGTCGCTGTAGGTGCTGGTACGAGGTAGATGCGAGCATGAAAAAGATCCCTCAATTGTCATATGTGTTGAGTATAGGACAAAATTTGCAGCTCTCCACTGGCAAGTTGTGGCGCCCCCCTATGAGTGAAGAATTCTCAAGAGGGACATTTAACAACATACAAAAAATGAATTTTTATACTGAGGAAAATGATAGGACAAAACATGAATATCTCTGTTGTTGCTTATCCACCTAATACTGTATAACGGGTAATTTTTACTGCTGTAAATTTTTATGAATTTCTGTTGGAATAGGGTGATTTTATTTTTCATGTGTTAATTTTTTAAGAATTGAGCATGTCTGTAAAAATTAAAATCATCAGGGATGAAGTTCAAGATCAATGTCTTAACGTTTTGAATGTGTTAACATACAAATACGTGTTTTATATGTGTCTGGACAACCCGATGTAAAATAAAAAACAAAATTGTTCCCGTGATAATAAGTGTCGATTCCTTAAACGATATGTTTTATTCATCTAAATACTTTAAATATCACATGCCCTGAATTTATTCCTTTTTCAATTAATATACATGTCTACGCATCATTATTGTTGCGCACCACGTGCACATCTTCATTTTAATGAAAACAAAAAGAGAGACAAATCAAGTCATCATGATTAAGTTGACAGAATTACAGGGGTCAGGGATTACGATGTATTAAAATGTCGAAGTTTTTACTGGAAGCAAATGAAAAAGAAGAAAGGGTCAAAGTCTTGAAAAACGGATATAATTTGAAGACTTCAATCTGTAATAGTTAAGTCATTATCAGAAATTATGCGTCCCGTAAGAGGAACCAGGTAATTGATGATATTTGTATAATTTGTGCATTGATTAAGATTTACTTGTTTGATCCTAATTGATAATCAATTAAAAAGTTCCCCAAAATACCAAAGAGTGTCAGTACTAATTCTGTAGCCTCCGGGTACTTAGCTAAATGGCAATGATAGCACTGAAATACTCTCATAATACAATATTCAAAATTTTGGCGAGGCGTTTTTACTTCTGTGAAATTTTACACGTTTAAATTTTAGGAAGTTATAAAACTCATAAAAACTAGTAGCACGTATAAAATACCCGTTATACAGTATATGGACAGCAACATTTGGTTTGGCTAATAGTATTATTATTCCAGAATATTTTGAACTTACATTCTCCTCAAGCACACCTCTTCATGCTCCAGAGTAAAACTTGTTTAAGGCCTGGGTTGAATATTTGTAGTTGTGGTATTTTGATTCCCATTTAGAGGTACATGTACTAATGTACTTTGAAACTTGATCATTATAATACATGTTTTATAGTGTCAATTTCTATAAAGGATTTTATGAACTGGATTTTTTTTGTTTTAAATTTCAAGTTAAAGGATTTACTGGTATGTCAGTCATGAATTTTTAAAATTTAATTGTGACCTTGGCAATGTAGTTATAATTACACATGTCAGTTTTAAAATTCCAATGTTTTAGTGAGTAATACGAGTATTTTTGGCATCATGAAAAATGTCCATTATTGTACTTTCATTAATAGGGATGGTCAGTTGAAGAGGATGAAGGCCAAGGAGTCCTGGAAATCCAAAGCACAGGATGACTTCAGCAAAATCCTCAAGGTCGAATGACTGTGTTCACGTTCATCTACTGAACTGTGCTGGCATTATAGACATTTGTGGCATTTGTTGTTAAACTCTTATCAAAGGTAGCTGGTTCATAATATTGAGTGAAACTACATGAAATTGTTTATTTTTTAATTTGCTTTAATCATGTTAATGTGACCTACTGCAGTAGGTAACAGTCAGTTTATTGGACTTAAAATAGCAATAGTTGTTGTTTTGTTGTGTTTGGAAGTGACATTATTTTACAGTTATTGTACTGAGTGGTTTTTAGCTCACCTGAGCCGAAGGCTCAAGTGAGCTTTTCTGATCAAAATTTGTCCGTCGTCTGGTCGTCGTTGTTGTCGTAAACTTTTCATCTTCTTCTCAAGAACCACTGAGCCGATTTCAACCAAACTTGCCACAAAATATCCTTGGGTGAAGGGGATTCAAGTTTCTTCAAATAAAAGGCCATGCCCTTTTCCAAGGGGAGATAATAATGAATTAGAGAAAAATTAATGGCATTTTTTAAAAATCTTCTTCTCCAGAACCACTGGGCCAGGAAAGATGAAACTCATGTGGAATCATCCTCAGGTAGTGTAGATTCAAGTTTGTTCAAATCATGACCCCCGGGGTAGGGTGGGGCCAAAATGGCCGATCAAAGATTTACATAGGAATATACAGTAAAAATCATTAAAAATCTTCTTCTCCAGAACCACTGGGCCAGGAAAGATGAAACTCGTGTGGAATCAACCTCAGGTAGTGTAGATTCAAGTTTCTTCAAATCATGACCCCCGGGGGTAGGGTGGGACCAAAATGGCCGATCAAAGTTTTACATAGGAATATATAGGAAAAATCTTTCAAAATCTTTTTTTCCTGAATCACTGGGCCAGGAAAGATGAAACTCATATGGAATCATCCTCAGGTAGTGTAGATTCAAGTTTGTTCAAATCATGACCCCCAGGGGTAGGGTGGGGCCAAAATGGCTGATCAAATTTTTACATAAGAATATATAGGAAAAATCTTTAAAAATCTTCTTTTCCTGAATCACTGGGCCAGGAAAGATGAAACTCATATGGAATCATCCTCAGGTAGTGTAGATTCAAGTTTGTTCAAATCATGACCCCCGGGGGTAGGGTGGGGCCAAAATGGCCGATCAAAGATTTACATTGGAATATACAGTAAAAATCATTAAAAATCTTCTTCTCCAGAACCACTGGGCCAGGAAAGATGAAACTCGTGTGGAATCAACCTCAGGTAGTGTAGATTCAAGTTTCTTAAAATCATGACCCCCGGGGGTAGGATGGGACCAAAATGGCCGATCAAAGTTTTACATAGGAATAATTATGAAAAATCTTTCAAAATCTTTTTTTCCTGAATCACTGGGCCAGGAAAGATGAAACTCATATGGAATCATCCTCAGGTAGTGTAGATTCAAGTTTGTTCATATCATGACCCCCGGGGGTAGGGTGGGGCCAAAATGGCCGATCAAAGATTTACATAGGAATATACAGTAAAAATCATTAAAAATCTTCTTCTCCAGAACCACTGGGCCAGGAAAGATGAAACTCGTGTGGAATCAACCTCAGGTAGTGTAGATTCAAGTTTCTTCAAATCATGACCCCGGGGGTAGGGTGGGACCAAATGGCCGATCAAAGGATTACATAGGAATATATAGGAAAAATCTTTCAAAATCTTTTTTTCCTGAATCACTGGGCCAGGAAAGATGAAACTCATATGGAATCATCCTCAGGTAGTGTAGATTCAAGTTTGTTCAAATCATGACCCCCGGGGGTAGGGTGGGGCCAAAATGGCTGATCAAAATTTAACATAGGCCGAAATATATAGGGCAACCTTTTAAAATTTTCTTTTCAAGTATTTCAAAGCCATGATTAGTAATATTTATATGGAAACATCCTCAGGTAGTGTACTTTCTAGTTCGTTCAAATCATGATCCCCTGGGGGGTTAAAATTCAAGCCCCCCCCCCCCCCACCTTAGTCAACTTT